TACGTTTGTGCAGGATTGCGACAAAAATATAACTGTTTATTTCTTTCTATTACGTATATAGTGGTATCTTAAATGAAATGTGCCAACTCCTAGTAGCTAAGTGCTTTGTCAGCCTCAAAGTCTGCTACTTTCATGTGACGAACATTTAAATACTTGAAGAATTTCCAAAAATATCCTTCAAATACTTAGCAAGATAACGAAATAACCTCCTGTTTCATAATCTATGAAACAGATATACACAGATGTTTACACAGAACTCACAGGAGATTGAACATACTGATGTAAATAATACAAGTGATAATAATTTATACATATTGTATGAGTATCTTTATTTTATCAGTTTGTAATTATTTACAAAAGGAAATGAAGACCGATAATACAGCAAAAATATAGTAAGAAAGAATTTAGGTTTTTCAGATAAATAATTAATCAAAATAGAAGCAAAGAATTGATATATTTAGTTGCGTGAAGCAAAAGCTTGTTACGTAATTCTGTTCATGTAATTTAGTCAGACAAGATGATAAATACATCAGACAGCCTCCTCAGTATTATTTGAGCATATCATCTTGATGTAAATAGTTTTTATTATTGTCTGCATATGTTTCTATACTAAAATAATAAATTATATCGCAAATAACACAATATAGAATTTAAGTACTTCTCATATTTGTGACACCAAATGAACAGGAATAGTGTCACAGAAGAATTTATTAATGTATGACCTATTTTCTTTGAGTACTTTGAAAATAGTTTAGAACTTTTAATTCTGGTAAATAATATCCCATTGATAATAAGTCAGACATTCGTCTTTATGAATATAAAAGTGATATAACATCTCATATCGACACAATATTTCGGTGTACGCATAATGCTGAACTTGCATGCAATATGCTGAAACGCATTTGTAAAGCAGCATAGTGTTTGTTTGTTTGCCTTGTGACTTAAACTTGGAATAAGCATTCACTCTGATAGGAAGTAATTTCCCTTCACTAACAAAACTAACAGCTCTGTATTTACCTGATCTCTCCTGTTTCTGAAAGGTCAAAACAACAAAAATCCCAGTGTAAAGTTTTAAACATCGCTAAAATGCCTACGAAGCTCACGTATGCTGTTTATTCCAAAGATATTTCTTGACAATTTTGTTATTCAGATTAAATAATTGTATTCTTCTTATTTTGTAAAAGTGAATACTTCTCAGTGTGTATCATATTCCCCGTAAAAATGAATAAATTCAATTTACTAACGGCTATAAAATATGAATTAATGTTCAAAATTCATTTCTGACTCTGTTTTCAAAATTAATAATTTTTCTTCACGTTCCCAGTGGAATATAGGGCTTCAAGCTAGTTGCTCGGAGTTTGTGTAACAGTGTTTATTTTACAGGATGGGGTTGCTAGCCTCATACCCAACCTTTCCGCTTTACCAGTCTCACTACCGGCTTAGAGAGGTAAAGGAGTATGTCGGCCGGGATCGAACTCCGGACCATGTGCATGGTCGGCTTAAGTCCCAACCGTTATGCCACCGATGCAAGATTAAGATTAAATAAGATATTTATATTCCTGATGTATTTTGTCATCGTCTGATAAAAAATTGTTAATTGCACACATGTCTGACTGTTCTTCGAGCAAAATTCACTTGGAAGTACTTGAAATACTGAATAACGCGTTAACACAAGTTATTCATAAGAAATTTCTGTTGAAAAACCACTTATTCAAAAATTAAAACAAAAATCACTGGCGTCGTTAATAACAACACAGCCACAATTTTCTTAAATAGAATGATGTAGATGATGCTCCTGTGGACTTAGATATAACTGATTCATTTCCCAAATCAAAAAGAGATAAGAAAACACTAGTACTTAATTTGCATGAGCTAATACATTTCTAGGTGTATCAAAAAGCACTTATCTGTACTGTTCTTTTCAGACGCCATCTAATGTTAAATTCTGATGTCAGAATAGGGGTTATCACTGAAATTTGACCAGATGGTTTATAAAGAAGCCGGTTAACTATAACACACTGTAGTATTGCTTATCATATTTCGTGACGTAAACATCCTTATATTGAAAGTATAAAAACCAAATTACGGAGTAGTTACTCGAGATCGCGTTAGTTTCATGTTTCAGTTTGATTTTTAAATTAATTCCATCTGTTGTTCAGTCTGCTCAAGAAAAACACATTTTGAAAGGTATTTGAAAATTGTCAATATGTATTATTTATTCCCAACCAAAAGTAATATTACATTAAATAAACCTCTAAAGTGTAACCAGAACACTTTTGGGTTCTTATCATAAACTGATAAGGAACAGTGAAACTGTATGAATTAGTATACGGCTTTAGTGTCCTGGTGTGTCACTATTCAGTAACCTGTTCTAATCAAGAATCGAAAACACAACCATTCAGCCACCGGGACAGAATCTAGTGGTTGGTCAATTCTAACTTCTCCGATTCGTCATCTATAGCGCAGTTGACTACCCATGTCACTGGTAAGTGTTTGTCCTCAGAATCAACTTGGTAGACCCCACTGGTCACGACTTTCCACAGTGCGTGCTGATAGAAGAGTCTCAAACAGGGATGAAACAGCTTTCTGGTACTTCTGGGTCCTGGTAAGTCCTCCAGTTTTATTCACTTCGTAATCAAACTCGAAATCCTTATCTTTTCGGTGCGTTCACGTTTCGCTTATAACTGAGATTTTAGGTTCAATTTGGATGCCTTTGTTTTTGGTTAGCTTGAAAATTTATTTTGCAGATGAAGACAGTGGTCATACAAAGAAAAAGCAAGATACTACATACCGACCTGTACTATTTACCTGAAAGCACACAAACATCTTACTAGGTAGCAGTCAGCATATCAGTAAGGGTATAAGTACCGATTACAGAATACTCTGCCACTACTGTCACTTTCTAGCATCCCAAGACAAGGTTTTCAAAATAAATGCTACTGTCAAACAAATTCTGCCTCCTCAATTTATACAACTTTGTAGACTTAAATTATGTTTGACATTGTTTTCGATTTTCTCCAGTGGTTTAAAGTAAGTAACAGTAAATATCGCTCTAAGAGAAAGAACATTATTCAATCACTAGAAGCTTACGATCTGCAAACAATGAAAATTGCACCATTATTTGGATGACTTAACCTAAGTTTGATCACATGCTAGTTGCTACCATATTGATGTTCACTAAGGAGTATATTATAGGAAACGAAATAATATAATGATCTTTATGAAGAATCGCAATATTTAAAGTGTTGATAGTTGAGTGTTGAAGTGACCAACAGTCACGCACGAGGTCCGCGTTAGATTCTCAGTTGGGAAGTTGGGTGGGATGCTAGCAATCTTATCCCACATAAACATAATCGCAAGTGAAGCCCCAACTACCGAATCCCTACGTTACACTCGAAACACTGAGAACAAATGAAACAAACTAAATGTCTCTATTGCTCTTAAATCAAATTTCATGCTACTTTATTACGTTATGTTTTAGTTGCAGAGGTTGACAATATGGTATGTATAAGCAAAGACATAAAAAATGGTTTGAATGTCAAGTTACTTCAGCGGTCAAAGGTTTTTAATGGCGTTGTATGTAAGGCTTTAAGTACAATTAGTTATCCAGTTATACAATGCCGGGTTGGTGAAAGACATTTTAACACTGTTAATTCATATCTCGTCCAATTAATAAATTTGTGTCTGTGTTAAATGAATATTATTTGACCTCAGTACCATCAACTGCAATTTGATAGTAGTATATTCCTTGTAAACCTAGAATCATATATGAACATGAAGCTATTTGGATGAATGTAGTACTAATAAAATTATATACCTAAGATTTTCCAGCACGCATAACGTTATAACTTATTTCATTAGGACTTAATTAGCACTCGTATTGACTTGGAGAAGACCAGGTAAAGTAGAAAACGTGTTACTGTCAATTTAAATTTCATTAAAATAAACATGTTTTTACTTTACTTGTTTGCTTGTTCTTTATCGTTTTTCTATACGCCGACAAAACTTTAAGCGTGTCACTACAGCTCACTGTTTGAATTAAACATTCCAACTTGTAGAATTATGTCCTATATGCAATCGAAATTAATAAGTAGATAAAATGGCCCTGCGTTATCTAATAATGAGACATGATGATATATTAAGCGATGGTTAATTATAAACGAATAAAAGATTTTTTACCATGTTAGTACTTGTTGATGTGATGACGTGAGTTGGTGCCATATTCATCAAATAATGGAATGACTCTTTTTTGGGAGTAAAAGCATTGCGCGTAATGGGATTCCCAAACAAAATACTAGCTGCGAAATTATCTTGTATAGTCACCACAGCATCATAGAAATTAACGAAATGGGTAATTTGTTTGGCAACCAGAGACTAGTTTGAATGATATATTACGCAGCCACCGAAAACAGCGGTCATAAGAATCTTGTAAGGATATCATATGTGATATATCAATAAACGGAAATAAAATTTGCAAGGAGACGGTAACAATAGAAACATACATATAAGCTTTGATATTTCTAAGCGAAATCTAGAAACATCTGAACTGTATTTTGCCGGAATCATTTCACACACCATGCATCCATAACGATTTAAAGCAAGAATTTCTTTCACAGAAACTGTGAAAGTAACATGCTACAGAATTTTCAGTACAGAAGACCAAATGGAATCTATGCGACTAAAATCGTAATTTATAATTACCAAATGTAATTTGGAAAAATAAAATAGATACTGTAGAGGAACACAAGATTTCACAAGGGCAAATGTGTCAATTCTGAAATGTGGTCCATATTTTCGGCTCATACAAGGCAAAGTTACAGTTAAAGTCATATTTTGATGATTATTTTGTGTTTATGGAACTTAATTTACCCTTGATTTGAGTATTTTACATTTTTCAGACACCTAAAAATAAAACTCTGTTTTTGATTGATTTCTAGTCAAAAGAAAAAGGCAAAATGACTGTGAATCTCAATAATGAAATAAAATGAAGTCTGATCCATATGGAAATGCTGAGCAAATATATTCAAAACTCACATAGTAAACCCCAGTTGCCCTGGTTACCAGTGCCCTGCCTATTAACTGATGGGGAAGAGTTCTTCATTTACTTACAGGTTAGTTGATTGCAGTATGATGAATTCACTCAAAAGTAAAATGCCCGTAACTTCCCATTAGCTTTAACTGAGAAGCAGTGTATTTAAAATCTAAAAAACCATTGAAAATGACCTCACTTTTTACACGTTTCGGTTGACCAGAGAAAACAACTCTGTATTTTCAATGAAAGCAGTACTAATTATAGGATTTATCGCTCGAAAGTAAGGGAGCTGTCTTGATAATTTGTGACATTTACGTATATTAAGAACATGATAATTTCTGCACAAGTGAGTAAACTATGTGTAAATTGCTCCCCGATTCACGCATTCTAGAGAGATAAAGACAGTGAGTAGCCTTAATTCACAAAACACATCTAATCACAGAAATCTGTGAACTGACCAGGGTTATTATATGGTTGAATCAGAAAAATCTCAAAATACTTGACACTTTAAGTTATTACCACTTTTTAAAAGCTATCCCATATGTACGCATATGTAGATGACTAGAAATAGAAAAGCCACCTTAATAATTACTTTTGGAGAATTATAGAATACTGATTGATGAGCAGTGATAAAGAACAGAAGTTTCTCAACGTCTAAGTACACTGTTTCTTTCATGTAATGAGTAGGGTTAATGAAAAAATATTGACTTATTATTCATGAATGACTGTAGTTCACCACACACTTCTTTGAAGAGTTATCGTAATTCTGGCTTGCAGCTACTTAATTTGCAGTTTTATGAGGTATAATACATGAAGAAATCGACTTTAAATACGAAATGTACTGTTTAAGGACTTCATTTAATGGATCGTCATGTCATGCGTGAAACAGCAACTTCTAATTTCATTTTACATTAAAAGCTTATCAGTATGCTGTGAAGTATTCATGATGCTTTCTGAAAATGATAAAACTAATTTATAAAATTTCATACTGCACGTGTAATGAAGTAGATTCATAAGTTTAATTACACCAGCAACTGAAGACGGCGTACTTCAAATGAAAGCAACCATGATTTGTATTCTTCTGTGAAGATAACAGGTAGAAGGCACTAGGTTTTGTCTCCAAATCTTAGTCTGTTGGGTAATTACGAGGACTTGGAAATGTGTAACACCATACGCCACAACAGAATATACCAAGACACAATGTTTGACCATTACTTATCAAATATTTCTGTTGTATTTAGTATATTACTTCCACAACAGCAAAAAGAAAGCATGGTTGCCATATTACCCACACTATGCTCTATTAGCATACATAGAAAATTATGGGTATCTACTTCAACAGAGTTATTTTTTAACGTAACTTCATTTATGATAGTTGTTGATTTGTCGACATACTCTTGTCCAAAATCATTCCTGATATGCATAAATGTTCCGAAATTAAGTAATGAGTTAAAACATAGATAATTTGTTGAGTTTGCCTGTATGCATGCTTGATTTCTCCTGCGTATCATTTTCAGCGTCTCCGTTATCCTGTTAGACCTACATACGCAGTTCACAGAAAATAGAAAACCAAACATCCGGAAGTATAAGGCTTAATTAGTTATGTTAAGCGTGGATCGTGCATATGTGGCACTTTCAAGCAAGCAGGCGGAAAGTACATATTGCCGGCATATAAATCGTACTGAACAACGATTAATAGTTTGAAATGACAAAGAATATATCCATATTAATGAACATACGCTTAAGCGGAATGGAGCAGGATAGCTCATTCCACCCATAATCATTTTATATCATTAGTCAAAGGATAGATTATACTAGTCTTCATCCCATCAGGAGTATGTAAACCCTAGTGAAAACCATGAGAACTGAATATTTCACATCACATCGTTTCCGTAAAGTAACTTTGACTTATCTGACACTGAAAATATATTTGCTCTTTAAATATTTATTTAGATCGATAGAGCAAGATATGTCTAATTAAAGAAAATAAATGTTGGATACTGCGTGTTGAATGACGCTTCTATATTGTCCAAACATATTTTTACTCACTTTATTTTGAAAGTGATGGGAATACCGAACAGTTTAAACAATGTGTGGAAAACGACAACTATCTTTTATTAATTTCAATATTCAGAGATATTAAACTTCATAATTCTTTTCTTAAAACAGACTTAAAAACAAATTATGTTATGTTCTTTATGTTCTTCTTTATTTACAAAGAAGTAAGTAAAATGATTGATGTTCGCTTAACAGTGTAGCCGAATGCATAAAGTTATATCGCCCTGCCTCATACTTTCACGTTTGTTCATTGCTTAATGATGAAGAAGAGTGAATAATCAAGAAATTGAGCAGTCGTGAACACATAAAGTGAAATGCAAATAGGTGTAAAGTAATAAACAAAAATAATCCCTCTACCATGAATTGTAATTAGTTTGCATGACAGCTGCTTACAACACTAAAGGAAGTTAATAAACATTTTACGACATTGACTATATATGAGCATATAAGAAATACACTGTAACGTGCACCCTGTTTATCAGATTTGACTCATGGATTATATGGGATTGTTGATTACAGCATTTTACTAAGAAACACATCTGTGTTATGACATTTACCAAACAAATCAATAAATGAATGAACAATAAGGGAAAATAAGTCAAGGTTATTATGCCAAAAACAATTTTCAGTTGAAAAAAAAACACTTTGCCGTAACTTTGACTAAACATTTGATGAAAGTAAATTATCCTTACCAAATTCTTTTATTCAGCAATCCTGCATTACTGTTTGAAGGCACAACTAATATATTTTACAGTATTTATTCATTTCCCTTATTGTGAACAATATATACGTTGGGGATTTTGCAAGGTTCGAATATATTTCAGCAGTTGTGTAGCAGTGAAGAAGCCTTACAGTTATTCTCAAGTGTTTGCATTCTATTAGGGGTCCTCCAAGAAAATAATTTTTCAGCTTTTTAATTGAGTAAACTGTAACCTTATACTGACAACGAAGTCAGCTACCTATCCACCCATTTCATGCATTTTAGAAAGAAAAATAACTGACCCAATATAAAATAGTTTAACTTACCGAAGGAGTAAATACTCTCCAAATAACACTTCCGAAAAGTATTGGTTTTTGGGATTCGGTTGACTGGTTACAGGATTTCATCATGAGCTGACATTAGTTAGACAACCATTGGAAAACCTGGAAGTGCTGAGTAGTTTGTGACTCTTCAGCAGTACGCACCCACCGAGGTTCGAACCCAGGACCTTCTGGTTACAAGACGAGCTCATAGACCACTAAGCCACTGGGATCCGATCCAATGGCCCAAGAATTCTAACTTCTGCCAATTCACGATATGGCGCAACTGAAAGGACCTGAAAACACTCAATAAACTTGACAGTCTAAATAATGCAACAAAGAGTAAGCGTTGATTACCTACCACTCAGAAATCAGACGATTCTAAATTTGACAGGACCGTGTAACATGATGATAACCAAATACCAAAAATAAACACGCTTTTATCAATCTTTTCCCAATCGTCAGTATTTCTCATTCTCTGCCAATATTTTGAAATAGTTGAGACTTTCAAAAATGAATTAAGGAACAGCCTACAAACTGAATTGTAGCCTTCTATTTGAGATGCTGACAGTGTATTACGATGCACTTACAAGGGGGCTGTTTTCGAAACAAAATCCAATATCATATTTTATTAGAGACATTCAGCGGAGTATCCTGAAAGTTTTATGCATTCGAATACACTGAATACACAACATTATACTTATTTTTACTATTTATCTCACAGGAAACAGAAAATTCTCTTATACAAATGACCAAGCAAAAGGTACTCGTACAAACTGATTTGTGGGGATATTTTATTTACTGGAATTTTGTAGAACAACAGGTAGGTGGTCTTTGTATTTTATGTCCATTAAGTCATAAATTTTATCAATAACCAAAATCTAATTAAATTAGAAGTGAAGTATCTTTCAAGAGTACTTATTCAGCTTTTGTAAGCAACAACATAATTGCAAGTTATTTATTACTGAATTGTTTATTCACATAAATTCAAGCAATAACTGGCGACTTAATTCTTCGCTTGTGAAAAAAAGTTAGTCGACGCGTAATTTTAGAATTTCAATCAATAAGATTTAAGGATTGCTGGTGAAAATATCTCAAAGCAGAATTCAAACCGGTAAATATCGCGTGGAATATAATATTCATGTTTATCAGAGTATGAAGAAATGCATAGTTCTTCACAAGAGGAAGACTGATAATGAGTAGCAAACACCCACTGAGAATAAAAATGACCTCTCAAGCATCTTAAAACTAAGAAGCAATTTCTGTGTTACAGTTTTTTTTGTGGCCTTATTTCGTTTTCAGAATATTAGAAGTAAGGGAATTTATTATGATTAATAAGCTTATTGCCAATAAGCAGTTATCTGTAGGTCTCACACACATGGATGAATACAGCGATAAGTCTATAGGTAATCCCATCTCCCAAACATTTGATTCTGTTAACTGTTAAGTGGTTTGAGTTTAAAAAGCTGCTTGTATGAGCATTGATTCAAAATGTAAATTTATGCTAAGAGTATGATCTAAAATTGCTGAGATTTACAATAACGTCAAGCTAAATGTTTACTCACCTTGAGGTAAGAATCCGTTGTATATTCAACAAAAAATAAACCTTTTTCTAGTTCTAAATCGGATTGTGACATTTTTTAGTCCTCCTACGTACCAAGTAGAACACTGTGCTTCAAACACTGAACTTTGAAATTTCAACAACAGTGGTGTTAATTTTTTTTAAGGAATGTGTTTCCTAGCTTCACGCCCAGCCTTCCCTCTTTATCAGGGTTCCTACTGAGTTTAGGAGTGTGTCGGCCGGGGATCAAACTTTAGAACACGTCCGTGGCTGGATAACATTCTGAAATTATGATATACTTTTTGTTAAAAACAACCTTCAAAAGTCACTATAGGCTATATTTTTAGTAAATTTATAGAATATCTTTATTCCCATTAAGTTCACTTTACTTTTATTTCAAAACAGTCGGTCTGTACACTGGATTTGATGCACGTCGAAGATATTGAAATTTGTACACACAACAGTGAAGTAAGTAGTTGTTTTACTTTCATATTTTATTATCACGAAAATGTATAATTTAAGATACAACCTCGCCTAACAATGAATCATCAAGTTAGACAATTAAGTTGCAGTTCGTGTAGTCGGTTTTAATGGTTTACGATTATTTGCAAAAAGAATCTTAACAACAACTTAACTGACTATAGGTATAACTTAAATGGTTATGATTGACGAACACTAAACGTAACTGTCTGTACCGACATTAAATCAGGTGAATACTTGTTTCATTTTCAGCATATAAACCCATTTTCAGATATTCTCCATATTATTCATATGATCGAAAATTATTTTGGTTTCCATACACAAGGAAATATGAAGATAGAGAATGATCCAAGCAGTTTGTGTTTGCGTCACATAAAAAAGACACAAAGTTTTTCCACATTAAATACAAAAACTATTTCTCAGTACATGCCTTACTGAGTGGATACGCCTATACTAGAGTGAAAATGGTTGTGACCAACTTTCAAATAGTTATTTATGTCTCATTAAAATGCACTTTTCCACTAGAAAATATCATTCCTCCTATTTATTAATAATTTTTATGCGTAAATTTACAATGAGTTTTTCATTGTGCATCGTCTCCATATAACCATACGTAAAATATATCTTTGTTATTCTTTTCTTCAACCAGCTGCCTCAGACAAAAGATAACAAATCACTACGTCTTCAAATTTCTGCAGAAGGAATAGTTGTGTCTGGAAATAGTAATCTTCTTGAAACGTTATGTAAACTGGAACATCCAAGTATTACATTGTTATTGGTTTGTGAAGATTTTATTGTATTAGAAGTAAGTAACAACTAAAATCAATGTATCAAACTAGAAATTAACGATCTCTTGAAATTTTTTTTGTCTTTTATAAGCTCTGAAAGAACATTTATTAAAGATTTGGTTAGTAGTTATCACTCATTTCTTCTCACTAAGAAACTACCAGTCTGATAAAATTATCTTATGAAAAATACTCCCGTTTTAATTTTCTACTAAATGCTTTTGTATTGTATTGTAGACAAATATATCCATGAACAATAAATATATATGATGTCTAAACTCCGAGATCTATAAAAGATGAAACAGTAACTCATCGACGAAAACATCGCGAAATGGTCGCGCCATATCGTGAATTGGCAGAAGTTAGAATTCAAGGACCATTGGATCGGGTCCCAGTGGCTTAATGGTCTACGAGCTTGTCTTGTAACCAGAAGGTCCTGGGTTCGAGCCTCGGTGGGTGCGTACTGATGAAGAGTCCCAAATTAGGACGAAACAGCTGTCTAGTACCTTCAGATTTTCCAGTAGTTCTCTGACTGATGTCAGCTCATGATGAAATCCTACATTCAATCTATATAAGCTGTGAATTTCTACAAGGAAGAGAATTCCTTTGTCGAGTTTGCATAAAATGAATAAACGGAAATAACTGCCTCCTAACAGTGACAATTAAAACAGTTTAAAGCATATTCAAGTAATTCCAGTGTGAAAGAATAACAGGTTCGAACACAAAACTTTTTAGCAATAAAGCACTGATACACCTATTTCTGTCAAGTAAACTTCTGACTTATCAATATTTTACTTTTGCACTATAAACTACAGTTAATAAATTCCACTGGTTGATTACAAGCACCTCAAAGTCACTGTAATCATTCTTCACTAACTAATTTGTATATTTTTGAGTTTCATAAATGCATTATTAATTTTTTTTTCAGTTTGTCATTAGTGCAAGTGGATAAGTTTTAGAATTTGTAAGAAACATCAATGTAGATGCATACACAGAAAGAATTAGTAACAGTTAAAGACCTAATGTTTTCCATTGTAATGGCATTCAGATCTTCTAAATCTATCTTAAACTCTTTTGCTACTTGCTGAATAATAGTACCAGAAAGTTAAACTTTCATCTAACAGGTGTATACTGTCTGTATTAAATAAGCATAATACACACTCGTACAGCCTTATGAAGCAATAAGTTTCGCTTGAAATGGGTTCCATAAATATTCATCTATGAAGTGTATGCGCTGAAACATTGAACATTCCATTTTATCACTTAAAACGTATATGAATGAATATGTTCAACCTACTGGTAAATGCAAATTGAGAAAAATGGAAGAATAATCTTAGTTGATTTGTTGGCTGTGAATTAAGCTCTTAAACAACACAAATAAAATAAAAAATTGCTGCTGATAAAACCCATTTGATTCTGCACATATTATTTTTCAAATTTTTTTCAACTAGTAGAGTTAAGCTATTTGCTAAACTTTTGTCTAATAGCCGATTAAAAATGTATTGATCACTAAATTGACAAGTGAATAGTTGGATACTGCTAAACACATTCACGCAGAAAAACATATAAATATCTTAATGGGAACAATAAAATTAAGTATTTTTGTCTAGTCTTATCAACAATGCATAGACTGAAACTCTTCATTTGTCACAGTGATGAGGATGATGTTGGATTAGCATTCACTAGTTGTGAGTCAAAAAACAAAAAAAAATTCAAAATACACAGGAGAACAAAATGTACTAATCCTCGAAAAAGAAATTCCACGCAGTAAAAACATCACTCAGGTTTGGCTAACAGATTTAGTCATTTTCAAGCGAATGCATTGCAAACTTAGAGATATGCAGCCATTGCGATTATAATCTACAATTTTAGAATTTAAATTTTTTTGTACTGATAACGTTGTATGTGAAACTAACAAATAATTCAAATGACTTTAAATGAATTCATCTTGAGAATACACCAAATAGGGATTAAACAGAAACAGGTGGCTCTGTATGTGAGAAAAAAAGAATTCATTACAGAAATGGTACAAAATTTATTTGTCCACATATTCAGTTACTCAGTGTAAAACAGCGTATTCGCAATCTTCTTTAAAAGCATTTTATCAAACACTGTAATTGTTGCCAATTTTTCAGTGAATGTTGATAATTGATTAACTCGCACATATATATATATTAATAAGATAATTTTGGAGGAACAAATTTTCTCTTTGCGAGTCCTATCAACATCACACTTTAATGGCAATGAAACCATTACCACTAAAATACTCAGATTATACTTACAGAATTGAATGGTGCATGTGTGAAAGTCTAGCGACAAACTGATCACCTTTGAACCTCAGAGATTAGGTAACGTTATCCAATCTTTGAAAGATATATCAAGGGGGTGAATTCACAGTAATTCAGGATTTATTATTACTTAAAAGACCACTTTTTAAGCTCACTATACAAGCAGTACCGATTTCAATGACTTTGGAACGAAATTCTCGCACACTTACCACCCAAATGTTAATTTTTTAAGTTCGTTCATAGCGAACAATCAATTACAAGTGCTCAATATGCCATAATTTTTGTCGACTGTAATAGTTTAAGTCAGTTTTATGACGTCTTTCTTTGGTTGCAAAAAAAATGGGTCCTAATTTACGGGTGTTTAAAATGGCAATTAAAAGTAGAAGAGATAAAGAGAATAATAGGTCTTGACTCACCATCCACTCATTCGTGTTAGGTGAGCAATAGCGGAGTGAGGGATATATTGTTAGGTACGCAAAAAGAGGTAATCATTGAAACTGTAGAGGTCATTATATCACGAACAACAAGTTACCATCTTCCGTGGCTTGAGTTGTTGACTGAAGTCGGAATAATTTGGAAGACAATTAGGTATGTTCAGACTAAACCATGGAGTCTTCGACTCTTCGGCTGCGTAAGAAGGTGTACACTGCACAGAAATAATGGTAAAAAACTTTAAATAATTGGCTAAGAGTCGTTAGTGGTGGCGGAGATGTATTTACTTTTTTTCATCTCGCAGGTTCTGAAAATGCTCACTAATTTCAATCTAACTACTCCCCGTCCAGTGTATTTTCTTCAGTTATAATTTCATTCTACCTGTCTCCTCTACTTTTATCTGTACTTCCCTGAAGTGAGATTACTTGAACTATTAGGCATTTGTGCAAATTTTAACACTGGCAAGTTCATCAGCCTCTGTGTGATCACAACTTACTTTTCCGACGAATATTAAAATGACAGCATCTTGAAATTAGAATTAGGATGAAAATAAAATCTAGTAACCTGAACTTTGTTGTTTTATGTTGATTCATTTCAATAAGCAAAAAATCCACAAAGTAAGGAGTTAAATCTTTATAATAAAGTCAAGGAAAACAGCATGCTTTAGATTTGTTTATCAAATTAGAAAGGTCTTCAGATATTTTTATTTTATTTATAAGATATTTTAATAAAGCAGCGGGCAAATAGGATGTAACGAAATTTGTATTGAAATCTTCACAAATTCAATACTTGTATATATATATATATATATATATATATATATATATATATATATATGCTCAACAACTTTGTCTAGTCCTCTAACAAAACCTAATTAAAATTCCTGAGCTTTCTATTCATATCTGTCCCTAATTTGACTAGATATAAGGTCTTATTAAGTGCAGCAGCGAAGTGGAAATTTCAACTTTAAACAATATTATGGAATCGCACAAATATATTTTTCTCTTTCTCAGTTTAACTTCCAGCCTTAAAATGGCGCATACAGTTTCTTGCTAGAAATAGTTAAACTTTAGGTTTCGGGAAACGCAGTTTTTCAGGCTAATGGAATTCAAAGTAAAGGTACATATTTGCATCCCAGAATTAGATATATAGTGTTCTACTAGCTGAAACAACATCTGCCGTGTTCAGCGATAAGTAATCGCCGTCAAAGAAGCCTCCCAATAAGTGTAAGCAGCTCCGTTGTTATGCATAGCTGTTAAGTGTACAACAAGCGTTCTTGCAAGAATATACTTAGCCTATTTAGCGACAGTAACTGTTGTAGTCAGTCGGGCAGAATGATAGATACATCAATAGTCTATTTTTGTAAATCTTTTGGCAGGTTTTACTTCAGATCATCCCCACTATAAGTTGATATTTCTAAACTAATTCACGATAAAATTCCGCATTCTAACAGATGCACTGAGATGGTAACCTAAACTGGTGGGAATTAACCAACTAAAACAACAACTAACATTATTTTGAAAGCTACTCGCATCAACTATTTTGTCATCAATTACAGTAGTTTATCCCATTATGTTTTTACGCAGTTTTTCACGACATCCTTCAAATAATGATTTCTGAGAACATTTACCAGAAGCAGTATTTGAAAATTTAGCAATTTCATACAAGAAAAGTGTTTTATAAACGCAATTATTCACTTATTACGAAAATAAGTAAATTAGACGATTTGTTTCGAGTTCAGTACTAACTGGAAGTCAAACTCATTTCACCTCTTTTCATTTTCTAAGTCATGGAAAAATGCTCTACTTCGGTTAGTATTCACCCACTATACAGCGCGCATCACACTGGCACCTCTGGAATTACTCTGGAAACAGTAAGTAACTTATGGTATCTGAATATCTCATCTGGATATATGATTTTTAATTTAATTTATCCTGTTCCACTTCTTTTAGCTGAACTAGTAAATCGTTATAGTACAAACGATTAAAGTAAACTAAAAAGAGTATAACTTTAAGAGAAAAGAGATTTAGAAGTTATTTTGCTTGAAAGTCGAGTCTTGAAATGGTGTCACCCTTTCAAAAAGACTATGATCAAACATGCAAGTTTTTCAGGAAATGTGTTCCCTTAATAATTCTTGTACTAGCAAGACAAACAAGATTCGTGATACAAAATATACAAATTTTATTTGAAGGTTTCTCTTTAGGTGAAGACAGCCTAAAATATGAATAGGATCAACTAAATAAGAAAACATGCATTTCATATATCAAATCTTATTCTTTTTGGTCTGATAAAAATGAATATTTTTATCTCATAATATGCAATTTTGTAAATTTAGCCAACCAGTAAGAACCAATTCCATATAGTCTGTTACAAATGCCGAATAGATTTAATTATATATATATATACACTGCCTGCCTGATGTTTCTTGAAATTAACTGTATGCAAATTGACTTATGCACACGTCTGGTCAAGTTAATGATACAGGTGGTGACATTACAATCTAAAATGAAGTTAAATACAGGGTATACTTGTCGTTTCACTTGGCTAGATTAAAAACAACAAAATTGCAGCAATTCAGAGACTGTCTCTGCAAGACTCCTACAAGAATATCCTAAATAAAATGTTATACTGAAATATTAACAACCTAAACATTAGGAAAAGAGTCATTATAAATTATTTAAAATAATCCCAGCGTATTTAGGAAAAAATCAAAACATGATTTTTTTTCTTAAACACCCTGGGATTATTTTAAATAATTTATAATGAATCAATCTTACTCGAAGCTAAAATTATTCCAGGAAATTCGTAACATCTACGGTCTGGAAACTTAAAATCTTATTAAAATTGGGAAAAGAGTAATATTAAAGGAACTTTTGAGTATTCTTTTTTTTTATATAGATAGATAACACAGTGAATTATTATGCCTGTTCTTTTTATTTACAGATGGACTCATTTAATACTTGTGTGTTCAAAGCTGTCACCTTGTAAAGATGAACAGACAAGTTGTAACAGTCACACGATAGTTCCAGACTGTTGTCTTACAGCAGCACTAGGTATCGAAGGGGATTCTGTCCACAAACAAACAAGTTTTTCTGTAAATGAAAAATGCGACGGCAAGTACTTTTCGGGTGAAAACATCGAAGTAAGTCAAGTAAAACGTTATATCTATACTTTTGAAAATAAGGTATCAAAATGTCCCAAGTAAAAACATAATTAGTGTCTGATATGTGCAAACGTTCTGTAGTTCTAAAATACGTGACAAGCATTCTTACTTTATTTTATGTCCCTTAATACACAGTGATATTTGATATGTCAACCTCCTGAAGTTTAATAACTAATTTTTAAGTTGACAATAGGCTGAACGTGCCCAAATTAAAATAAAAAATCAGTTCCAAAGATGTGATATGTTCATCTTAAACACCGACAGCAATATAAACTGAGACTGATCACAGAAAGATGAAAAAACGAATCCCTTCGTCCAATAACAAGGAAGACTTAATATAAAAGAACAGCAGGTTCAGGATTCATGCTTCGTGATACCTTCCATGAATTCAAAAACCTTCGCTGTTGTGTCAATATGCAAAGCCTTACTACTAGTCTATTCAAGGCTTGACTGTTCTTCCCATAGGAGTGAGTTATTTCCATGAACCAGCCACCTGACAGAAGCTACAGTACATGTCCAATCATAACTGCTGATCAAAATTTACCAATGGCATGTATAACAAAATAAATAGACTTAGTTACTTGGTGGTTCTATGATCAGTCTCCCCACCTTTTTGATACTGGTGATGAAAAATGTTTAGTCTGTCTGTTGTCATATTGGCTCCAAGTACGGACTCTTTCATGATACTCAAGGGTTATTATGATAATTTACATCCTCTGATAAACCAACATGAGACCGGGCATTCTGGCCAAAAATTATCAGTCTGAGGGAAATGCAAATTAACTTAGAAACAAATAATTAAAAATACCTTGTTTGTATGAAAGCCTTGAAATGTGTAGGCGTAGTTTGATTATAAATGTCTGTATACTCTACACTTAGAGTTTATTCTCATGAAAACAAAACAGACTGATTGCAGGCTTTCACTTATTCAGTTAAACTGTTACTTCTACATTCGTAAGGTCCATTAATTCTATCTTCTGCAAACTATTGATTATTTGCCTATAATTCGCTGTTTAACCTTAGCCTCAAGGTGTGTATATCCTAGGCCAATTTAACGCTTGAAAATATTCTGACTAACTTTAATGTGTTGCTCTTTCGAATAACCATTTTCTCTAGTACGTTTGCCTACGTAATATCCTGTTATTTAATCAAAATTTATATTGGTGGAAATTTGAATATTGCAACTTACTACAAGGAAAATGATGAATTTCTAATGATTTAAATTAACGAGGAAATGTCATTTCGTTACTCAGATAAAAAGACAAAAATAGAGAACCTTGTGAAAACACTTCTTTCTCATCTATTTCTACTTTCCCGAATAGGAATATTCTTGGTGTGTTATATTATTTCTGCCTTTCCAAATTCGAATTAAAAGGCTGATTTACAACTGCTATGGTGTCTTAATTCCATTGAAAACTAGCTTTTAAGCATACTTGCTGCATAATACCTGTGCTGATTACTATACCCAGAAGACTGTACTTCTTTGCGTATTTCTACCGTCTAAATTGCACTCGCTGCAATTTTTTGTGTAATATTTTTTTACTCTCAGTTAGTGAATGATTTGGATGTATTCTTGGACTTAAGCACGCTAATATATTGCTCCAATCAGACTGATATTAAATATGAGTTTAAATCAAGAACTTTTGGATGAGTAAAACTTTGTGTATCATTCTGAAGTCGAAAATTTCAGAAGAAATTTTTTTATCTTTTAACCTTTAGACTCAACAAATTAGACTTGAAAATTTGACATTTGATTACTTCTTCAGTTTGTTTGTTCAATTGTGGCCTAGAGAAGATATCGCAGACTTATTTTCTGCCCAGTAAGCAGTTGTAATGAATACTTCATGTCTTTTTTTGATTTAATTATATATATATATATATCCTTTGAATTGTCGATTACCTATGAGAGATGTTCTTACACGCTTGACTACATCCAACAAATTTTAGGAAGTAATACAAACTTGTATTAAAAATCATGTTTGCTGAAGTCTCTTAGCTCCTTTCATTCATCTCTTAGCAATAAAAAATTAACTTGTGAACTATACCATTTGTATACTAAATGCTACGTGTGCACTAGTGCATGAGATTCAGTAGCTGCCAGACTAACCTTTGATTTCAACCTATTCTAAAAGCCAATATTAGGCTAATAAGTTGACAAGTATTCTAAGATACTATACAAAATATAGCATCTCATCAAATTCTGAAGTTGCAGCTTTGTGGAACTTCATCAAGTAGTAGTAGTAGTAGAAAACGGCTGTAAGGTTCACCTGCACTTAAATCATTACTTGAAGAAAGAGTAGTGACTGTTGCCTATTACGCAAAGTTTTTCACTCCTTTTAGACCGCTTATTTTAAAGATGACCATAAGAGAATCAGACTGATAATAATATTAGTAGGAATTTCCAAAACGTTGATGATCACGTCCTGAGTGAAAAAGTCGTGATGCTTTAAAATGAGTTATACTCGTAGGAAAATATCTTAGTTAAGTCATAAGTGGAGTTGAATATCCCCTTAGTCTTCGCTATTATTTATACAATTATTTACTGTTCTTCATATCGCCAAACTACTAAGCTTAGTTATTTATTCCATTACAAAACTTACAGAATATATCCTTTCTTTAGATGCAGAGGTATAAATAAAAACAGCATTTGAGATTTGCATAACATCCACTATTTTAATTCCTTGGTGTAATATCCAGAATTGTTTGTTTTGATAATGTCGTTCCTTTTTACAAAATAATAACGCTATACTGTATATAGTTTGCTCGCATGGCAGTCTATAGGGATATCTTTTAACAGAGGACTTCTGTATATTCAGCATCTAACAGGTAACTACCACATAATTCAATAACATTTCTTAATTAATAATAGTTTTGTCACATCCACCCAGGAGAGATTGATTTCTCCTTGAAACTAAATACTGAAACAGCATCCAGAATGTCGCCATTTTCTTCAAACCACATGTAGCGGCAAAAGATGAGAGAACTGCTACGAGACCTTTTATCAAGAAAAAACGCATCCTATTTATTCATTTTTAACCGTATTAAAGGTCGGCTAGGTTAGTGGACCATAAACTCTTCTGGTTGGTTTGAGATTGGCTCAGGGTTAAACTATAAGACCGTAAGTTGTCCAGTGAGATCATTTCAAGACTGTAACGTAAATTAAATCCAGATTTTGGGAGTAAGCACTTTTGCTTCTATAGCCACTGTCTTAGTTTTTGGCTGCTTCCTATCAACCTGCATCTAAATAGCATACGACACAAGTATTAACAGAATTGAGTGAAAATAACTCCAGTAAATTAATAACAAGTTTATCTAAGGTCAGTGTTTTCAAGAAATGCATTTGATGACTTTAATTTTCTAATCAACTGCTGATCTTTTGTATTTTTCAGTACAAAATCCAAAGGATACATGAACTGCCAAGAGCTTAACTCATTTTTACAAACTGTAAGTTACCAGTGTAGTTTATTACTTTACCAAATGTACAACTAATTTTCCATTTTACAAGAATTCTGGTAGTTCATGTTTTCGATCAAAAGACTTAAATGTGTGAGGAACAGTCTCAAACAGTGTAATTTGTTTTCTATCCATTTTGAGTTAGTTAATCAACTTACAAAATTGTTGTAATTATTTCAACTAAGGTGAAATTTCGAACTTAAATAATTTAGACGAAACAAAAGTGGATTTTATCTCGACTATTATAAATAAACACTTAAAGTAAAACTAATATTAAATTTTATGTCCTATTAGATTCGTTTCTCACAATGTCCTGTTCAGTGACAGGGTCTAAATTGTGTCAGCAGTAGAGGACATTATTTTAAACGTAATGTTGAATTCTCAACTATTATAGTTCATACCAGAAAATATTTTTTTCTCAATTAAAATAACTGTCACGACTAAATTGATTACTGATGAGAATAAAATGCAGCAATTTATAGAACTCCATAATTTGTTATGTGTGATTTATCTTCTTTAAATTTAATAGGTTACATATACATCACTCAGTGTGAAAAAGTAACTTGGTCATTTTGAAGGAGTATAGATTGAATACGCCAAAAACAACCATTTAAGCAATTATATCAAGTTTCTCGTGTATCTTCATAGACTGGGCAATGCTAGATGCCTCAGTAGGAATTATTAATTTAATGTTGTTTCAAAACAAATGCAGTGCGACTGGAGAAGAGTTGTTAAGATAGAGATTAAGTGTACAAGGAGTTGCTTAGATTCTAATAATAACCATAAAAAATAATTCATCTGAAGACTTATTCGGATCGCATCCAAAGGTTTGTGGAAGCCAAAGCGATTGAGAAGTTTAAGTTACAACTAATTTTTCACAAACAGTTTGTCATTACATTAAATCTTCTTTGATAAATTTTGTACTATTATTCTCCCTCATTTATTCTGTTTTTATTGATCTCCACTGTTGTTTTAACCTTTTAATTTAACCTACGTTTATTCTTTCACCCTTTAACTTCTATTGGTATCACACCAATTTGACAAGTGTGTAAATGTTAAGAGTATTAAATATTCTCATATGATGAATTTAAAGTCAGACTAAACGCGAAAAATATTCTTTTCATTCAATTCTGTTCAGTGTCTCACACTTACAAAATATAGTAACAGATTAGTTATGGGATGAGAGTATAAACAGTGTTTTGTGACAAGCGTTCTGGGCTGATGTAATTACGATACCACTTATAACGTTAGAATAGTATAAATGGACAATTCAATACAATCAAAAGAATGTAGGATACAAATTATAAAACATTATGGTTAAAACTATTAGAACAAAGTCAAAAGGAAAGAAGAAATAAAAGATAAGAGCAAGGGAAAAGAGGTAAGAGGGACAGTCAATTCTGAAGGGTGAAGAACCTTAAATCCAAGTTTGGCTGCGGTAGGAACAGCGCACGAACGTGTTCTTTTTTAATATAAAGTTCCAGTTTAATTGATTTTACTGTAACAGCTTCAGCTCAGTGTAGAAGACGTTAGCGAAGTGAGCATGATAATAACTCGGGAATGTGGTATATAACCCTGAAGGCTTTGTTACAATCGATGCGATGTCCTCTATCCACCAAGTGTCTTTTGTTCTTTTTAAGCATTTGATTCCCCCTTTACTGAACCAAGCTGGTTAATGTTCTCGAATTCACTTCAGTCTTGCTATCTCGCCTTTAATGTATACTATTTTCTACTAGCCACTCGCCCGACGGTGGCACAGCGGTTAAGACGCTCGCCGACCATGCACATTGTCCGGGGTTCGAGCCCCAGCCGGCGCACACCTTTACCTCGCTAAGCCGGTAGTGAGACTGGTAAAGCGGAAAGGTTGGGCATGAGGCTAGCAACCCCATCGTGTAAAAAATCAACACCGCTACGGAATCTTCAAGCCTATAGCTTGGAGCCCTATGTTCCACTGGGAACGTGAAGGAAAAAAAACTCGCCCGACACGTTTTACAACCGTGAACTGACTCGCCAGTTTCCTTCTCCTAAGTTGTATTAATATCCATTAGAATTGATCAGCATCATCGTCTTAGGTTTCACAACATTTTGTAAATACATTTAGCCTAGCACGTTTATAGAAAAATATTATTTATAATGTCACCTTATGAATAATCTGTTATTCTACGTAAAAATGTATCCGCAGGGAAAGTGGCTATTATTGTAATAATAAATTATATATTTCACAATAGTAAGAAATCGAAAAGAATTTGCTGAGAACTACACATGTGATCAGACTGTTTGAAGTTTTTAAAGCAAATGCACCACACGGTGTTGTTTAGTCATAATTCGTAAAGTGGACTAATCGACAGACTGTATCTACACGCAAAACCTAAACATACAGATTACATCATTAAATATACTATGAAGTTAAATTTTTTTCTTTTATGTCGTAAAATAACTAATTTCTTGAAAAGCTACCAAATAACGGAAGTTTTAAATTTAGCAGAGAGCTATATCATGTGTTTCGTCCCTTGAACATCTTCACCAGAAAATCCCATAGTAAATCTAACATCGCATTCCAGTTAGCTTATATCTAAAAAGTTAAATAAGAAAGACAGTTTGCACTCCACAGGGTATTGTTTTCTCAAATACATTTAATTTGTCCCTCCTTTTAACAGAGTATTTCATATTTCGCAAATTCAAGTTTTCCTGTGCATAATTCAAGAGGTTTAAGAACAAATGAAAAACAGAGAACACTGAGGCATATTAAATACCTGCATATGGAACGGACGCAACATAATATCACTGAAGCCACCCCAGCAAAAACAAATTTGAATCGGAAACCAAAATCACAAAAACTTCAAAATGTTTCATGTCTTAAACGCTCGAGAAGTTGTTATACGACTGAAAAAAGTAGTGTACATCGGAGTCGAAAACACACTGACAATGTTAGTGCTGCAGTGTACACACCAAATTCACCAGAGGAATTTTTATCCCTGACATCTAGTCCAATGCATCAAGACAAAAGTGATGTAGAAGAAAGTAAAGGTCAGTGCCTTCCAGTAATCGTTAGCGAGGAAGAGTTCGTCAAAATTATTCAGCATCATGAAACTAATAAGTATGCAGCTAGCAAATGTGAGTTTTGACTAATCCACTTGCAAACTGTTTTACTCTTTGTTTGTACCTATTTTATTTGAAATTAAACACTATAAACATGATGCTATATATATAATAAGAGTTGGTTGCATTCCTATTTTTCTGATAGAATGCAGTATACTGTGTATAGTGGCAAATCTTCTCCTACCTCGCTTACAAAATCCGGTGTTCCTCGAGGTGCCGTCCTCTCTCCCTTTCTTTTTTCTTTCTTCCTACACGACCTGCCTCATTCAAACGAAACTAACAACTTTGTCAAATATGCAGATGATCTGACTGTATCACTGCCTATCACTTCCGAGTCTGACTGCTCCAAACTTAATAGCTTTCTGTTGGACATCAACAACTGGTCCAAATCAAATGGTCTTATGTTAAATCCTTCCAAATGTCAGGCTGTTGACTTTACTTTCAAGCATCGACGTAACTTACATGAACTAGTTAGTTCGCATGATGCCTGTAGCATAGATGGCACGGAAACTGAAACCAAGTCAAGCATTAAATACCTTGGATTAGTTCTTTCCTCTGACCTTTCATGGTCATCCCACATCTTATCTATCTCTAAGAAAATGTTTCGTCTCACCTTCTACATTAAAAAGTTAAGACAATCAGGTATCAACCAACCTTTAGTTTTGCAATTTTTAAACTCCTGTATTTTACCTATTGTACTCTATTGCTCTCCATTAATCTTTCCTGGGCTTCTCAAAAAAGACTATATCATATCACGAAGAGTATTAAATGCTGTGAGTAGGGCTTGTGGTATGCCACTGCGTGAGCTCGCCAATACTATAGTCGAGAGACACATAAATTCCTGTACAAAATGGGCAAAGGCTATACTGTCAGATCCTCTGCACTCCCTTTTTTCGCAAATACCCCCTTGCATCTCATCAGGTAGGACGAGAATTCAATATAAAAAGTTATATGCTCGTACCACTAAGTACAGAAGTTCTACAATACCCTATTTAGCCCGTACTTTATATGACGAAGACTCTGTTAGACGTGAAACACATAAGTTACTATGTAATTAGCAAAGTGAATCGACCCTTTCCACGTTCATCTCTCTGTATTTTATGGTGTCACACTTTCTATCGTTTAATTATAACTTTGCTATTTTATTTTAGTTGTTATTAATATTATCACTACAATTTTATGCTTTATGCATATTTTTCTCCGTATTGCATACAGTAATTTGCTATGTAGCTGCTATAACAACGTTTTATTATTATTGTGTAATATTTATTTTTATATTTTTTTGTCGTTTTTGAGTAAATTAGATGCAATATTGTACTGAATGCTGAAACTTCCTTGCTGTATCATTAGTACTGTTTTGGAATAAAGCAAATTATCATTATCATCATTATTATCATCATACATATATATATATATATATATATATTCCCAAAGAAAGAAGATAAGAACTTGCACTCTGGCAAGATATTGTTTCAAAAACAATTTCTCAGTGTTATCACCTCTCTCAGAGTAAAATTACCCAGCGCAATAACTGTAGAACTATAGACAAATATCGAAATTTCGTGAGACTTTACTCAAGATCAAGTCATTAAGTTACTTATCCAACATGGCACATATAGTAATTAATGTCTGACTAACAGGTCTCAAAGAGATATCATAAAACTAGCCCGCAAAATACAATCAATATGACCAGCACTACATAAATAGTGTTTATGTCGTTCAGAGTAATTATATATATATATGACAATTAACGAATTGAATTTATTGCTTAATCCAATTGGCTGGTTTCGTTATACACATTTTCAGAAGTTTTGTCATCTTAATAACACATGACATTCTTTTAAGTGAATCTTGAACATAACATCAGTAGGGACTAGGAAGCAGGCCTTAGCATTCACTTACTTTATCACGAAATCAGCTTACTCTATTTAATGCAGCTCCTTGCACTAGCCGGCGAAAGCTCATTTTGTTCAGATTTGTTCAGATATCAAATATGTATCTTTAAATTGTTGGCTTCAGATGTGTTTATGATATTGAGAGAGGCATGAATAAACGCTGAACCATATGGGAATCTAAGCAAATACTTATCTGACAGATTATCAGTTTTTTCAAAAAAAATAGGTATCAAATAAGTATTGTAACCGTAGGCGGTTAATGTCATTTTCTTATTTCATAGCGTCGTGAACTGATTCAATCTGATTAGAACTGCACGCTAAATTTATCATCGCGAGGGTTAGGGTTATTCATGCAATTTATAAATAAATAAATTCTTCCTGGATTATTAGCAAGTGTTTCCTTTAGAGGTTATCTATTTCATCTTAATATATTGCATAAAATAATGATAACTAAATGTCAGGGCAAAATCTTTTCACTTTACTATATAACATCCTGTCAGCTGAAACTAGCCTCAAAGTGAATAAATTATGATCAAAGATAATAAGTATGTAACGTAGTTCACATGTCATGTGATGCGGAAAAAAGCTTGAAATATATTGGATTATAAGAAAAGAAGTGAGTTAAAAATTCAAGAACTCAACAAAAAGGATACAGCAGGACAAATTGTGAAAAATATAGAAGAGAATATTTTGAAACTTGCAGTCTACCTTTTTAAAACAACCACGAGGTTAATTAATGACAGACTGAGTTGAAATAAAGTAATTTTATTGTGAAAAAGTCAGTAGACTAAAATAAGCTAGACGAGTAATTTTGAATGATAGGATAATGACCACTATAATACTCCACAATTATCTGAGATCCAATTACTTCATGACTATGGCCAATCATTCAACATCACTGAATTCTTTAACTTCAGATTCCCCAGAAGAAAATACAAAAATATCACAAACAAAATAGGAGCTCGCAAGATCAATTTTCAGCTAAAGTATGTATGTATCTTTAATCATGGTTTCATGTTGACTGAAAATTCTGTCACTAAGATTTCATTTCAGAATATGGACTGAAAATTAGTTGCTTATCTCTCCTACATCATATCCTTTTAGTATGTTTCAGGTTTTCTATTCAAGAACAGACTATAATTAGTAATATTCTTCGTCAACAGCGGTAATATTTTCTAAAAAGTTTACAGTGCTTATTCTTCATCGAACGAACTTTTAGCATTACAAAATATCAGAATAGTACTTAGTTCTTATGGAAACAACTGATGTTACAGAAGTAACATTCGTTTAATGTCAAAAGCCAACAGAGGAGAAATCCAAAAATTTATAGTGTGGGAAAAAATATTTATTCTAATGGTTTTAAATCTGCTTCTGTTTGCTGTGTAATATTGAAAAAGATTTTAGGAGCAATACAATTTTCATTATCCTCTTAAATCGTGATGTTAGGATAAAAACGCAAGTTTCCAGTATATTAGACGGAAAAGTAGGTAACTAAAGGAATTATGCATACCTTAAACAGATACCATCTTGGTTAAAATTCCTTTTGTTAATCTCTCCTTCTTCAGTTATATCTGTATAAATGCACACTGAAGGAGGTATTGAATTGGTACACTGCGCCCACTTGAAGAACTTTAACAATTTGCCAAGACTGTCGATATCGTTGACAACAATAAAATAAAGCAGTTACACCTTTTGGCCTAATACGAATACATCCATCACCGCTTAGATGTCAGTTTGTTGATATTCTTCGGTTCTTGCGAATGTCCACTTAATAGAAGCATTCTGAATGAAATTACCTTAGAAGGTGTTTTTATTATATCGATATTTGTCTTTTCTGAAGTATTTTGAAGCTATCAATTTTATGACAACAGTAGTAAAAATTATTTCACTCTATCGTCTCATTGTCTTTTTAATCACTATTTGAAAATGACTTGCTTTTCTCTTACTTTGAAAGGCTACACTGAATAGAAATAAACAGGACAATAGATATAGAAATTATCACCAGTTTTCTTTAGAAAGCTGATAACAAGGATGACCTGTACTTAATAAAATGCTGGTTACTATGGCCATTCTGTACATTCCATTCTACTAACAAAATCATGTTATGAAATTAGACAGATCATCATTAGGTTAAGGAAATGTATCACTTAATCACTTGTCATATAGTTAATTGCATTTTTAGAGTGACCGACTTGTGGTCCTCAAAATCTAACATCCATTTTATTTGCAAAAAAGACCAATTAAACTTATGGATAATTTCCAGACTTTTAATGAGAGTGAAGCTTAAACAGTAAAGCTGAAACCTACAATTCCTTGTTAACCGTCCTTATCGTAATAACAATAAGTACAGAGCATTTGTAATAAATTATACTGTAAAACAAGTGGTTAATTATTGGAATGATTATTCTAAAAAAAATCTGCTTCTGCTATCTGTATACACCTACTTCCATGTAGCGGGATGTCTTTGTAAACATTACTGGAACTTTACTCTTTGTTTTCTAGTGGCAACTAACTCAGTGAACTCATAACTCGGAAATGCCTGACAATTCCTTTGTTGGTTAATACATTCACAGGATTTCAGTGGGGTTTTGCATACAACCCACTTGGTCTTATTCCATAATTTTTCCGCATACTATGGCAGTTCACTGGCTTGATTAATAAATGTAGGATCAGATAAAATGAATCACATACAATCACTTTGCTAATGTATAAATTACAGATTTCAGGTATTTTCGTATTTAACATTTAATTCTGACATCGCTTTTGCACCATATTTTGCTATTTAAGATTGGCAGTCTTTTCAGAGTCATTAAATTGACAGGTGTTTACTGATTTTTATGTCAGGTATAGGAATAATTTTCTCTATAGACTGTTATCAATACAGCTTCGAAATTTCCAACTGTTGTAGAAGTAAACAGTTCTAAAAGTGGTACGAAACCACAGTTCAGAGACCCTTTCTGACTTTCTTTAACAGTTCACTCTTGAGTGAACTGATTACTGATTTGAGGGTACTCAGATTCATGGAACACTGATATCATGTTGACCAATAAGAAGAGCCCGAAAACATTCTATAGAATACCATTCCAAACAAAGCCTCATTGGATCTTTTTCTGTATTCTTCAGACAGTTTTATGCAGGTAACCTTTTCTAATAAGAAACTACTATACGTTTACGGTCCACAGGTATATTTTGTAGTGTTCAAAATTACTCAGATATAAATGAAAATAACTTGATTTTTTCATCAATTCCAAATTGTTACAATGCATCACAGTGAATCACCGTTCCGTAAAAATGTATATTCTCCTAAATTTGATTTTTTTCCTTCAATGTTCATCAGGTCTACTATCAAACGAAGGCTTCTATAGACTACTTTTATCTTCCACTTATCGAGAACTAAGTATACGTCCGAATGTGCCTTCTCATTCGTGTGAACAGTGGACAGTTTCACATCCAACAGAACCAGAGTCTTTTAAGTATGGTTTACTTGAATCGGAACATCCATTGGCTCACTATTATATTAAAAGTGCCTATCTGATCAACAAAATCCATAAACAAACTGATAATATTGATCAAATGATGCAAAACAATGATGTCGCATACTTCAATGCTAAATTTCACAGAGAAATAAGCGCATCGGCAGCACACAACTTTAAATCGAACAATATACTAAGAACAATTCGTCAAGCATTGTTCTGTGGAGTTCGGTAAGTCACTTGATGCAACCTGAAACTTCATACGTATAATGTCGCCTAAACAAATTTGGACAGATTTTTTATATAACTGAGTTCTTCAAAAAATGTGATGCACTTACAAAATACATTTAGAACAGTATAGTCTCAAATTCAAATGACAAGTCGACCAATATTTAGGAGGGAAAATGGAAAATCACTAGTGCGAAAACACTAATAAGACAGTTAGATGTAAAGAACACAAAAATAGGGAAATAACAATTTGAAAGATGAGATTTCGATTTCAGTACCACATGGGTATCTGGACCGTTAAAGCAGAATAAATGCAATGGTTAGGAAATTTTCTTACAAATTTGGTTCAATGTGCATTATCTGACTGTGTTTATAAAGAATCCCTAAAAACATTTTGATAATGGACTTGTAATTCCCTTCAATAAGATTTTACAAACGGAAATGGTTGTCTGCTACCTGCTTGCCTTTATTCGGATACTGGTTTCATTGTCTCTGCTTAATTAATGTAATTGCTCTATCTTTTGTATTCGTATTCATATAAGCGCCAACTGCAATACAGTGTAGAATGTGTTGCTGTTAAGGTTTGCAGTGAATCAAATCAGTGATCAGACTATTTAGCATATTTAGCTTAAATGCACAACACTTTCAAGACAAACTTCATTTTCTAACAGGGCTAACCAAAGTTACCTTACATATGGTTCATGCTAACGTGAATAAGAAAGCTTCAAAACGGGTAACATAAATAGAAAGAAGTAGTACAGAATCTATTCATAAATTCTGGCAAGGTTTGCCCAATGAATTTCTCACACTTGCAGTCGGTAGAAAAGATTTGTAGCTCAGGTTGATGATGAAATTTGTTGGTTACATCTTTAGTATCAGGTCTAGTGATGATACGATTACTATCAAAGGTCATAGCTTGAAGAATACTGAAGAATTACCATGCTTAACAATAACACAACACTGATAAGCAGCAAAGTGACGTATAATTCTTAAAATATTCAAATTAATATATAAATTTTCAGCAAACGTTTGATCATAACGAACAACTGTTCTGAATAACTTATTACACTTAAAACCACAAATTAACGGAAACCGGGTCAATGCAGATGTTAAGGTGAGGCTCATAGTAAAATCATTTCATATTTGCAACAGTCACTGTTGTACGTAAGTGGAAAATAACTCTGGTGGAAACGAAATGTGAAGGTGAAATAACAACTACAATTACAATTACAGTAAATTTCAATTTAAGCATACAATGTTTATAGACAATGAGATAACAGTCGAATATGAATTTTTATACACGCTTGTTCACTCTACAGCAAGTTATAGTTATGTAGCGGTGGCCGATATTCACATCGTGTGAAAACTCAGGGAAAACAATGATGGAATGACGAAGTGTGAGAAATTTCAAATGAAAATATGAAACAACGGCGGGGACTGTATTATACAGTTACTGTTTATCATATGTGTGCAAAAATGTAAGTTTTTCAATGCCGTACAGTAGATAAAGTGGAAGGAGAGGATAAGTGCTTAAGATATGAAATTCATGTTGGGAATTTTACATAGAAAATAAATTTACTCAGCGGGAAAAAGAATGCACTGGTTAGGTAAACTGTAACTTCCTTAGTCTACTGTGCTGATAGATGTTAGCAAGTATTTCTTCCTAAAGCCGCTTCCGTACTCTCTCCATCTAGAATAACTGTTCTGACTACCTGGAGGAAAGTATTACAGATAAATATTGAAAATACGGAATCAGTTTGTCTTGAAATATTCAGCAAATAGTATAAATTTACTGTTCGCCTTGGAATAAATGCCGTTCATTAATGATACATATACTGTAAGCTAATAAAGGTAATTATTTGCATACGTACATGACATTTCAAAGCATTATTATTCAATAAACTATTAAAATGTAACATACAAGTCACATCTATAGTTTCTATAACTCCTCTCTCTTTTCCCTCATGTTTAAGGGCGCTAATATTAGATTGTCATCATTTGTCAAGACTAGTTGGCACTGAAGCGAATATCTTCAATGAATTAATCGTGGTACCAATGAACAAAAATAAAATACCAACTTGTTTCAGGGAAACAACATCACAAGACTCTTTTAACTTGATGAGATCCATTTTACACAAAAATCATCCATATGCATTAGTGAAGGTAATTTTTAATAGTTTTTATAAAACCCGAAATATCAATATTTTTCAACGGCTTTTATAAGCTTACTACTCAAAAATCAACACTTTTTGTTTTAATCCAGAATAACTTCAAGTTCATACAATTTGCCCGTGACTGTAGATGGCCAATAGTGATGATCCACTTGGGTTAGAATTTCTTACGTGAATAAGTCAAAGCCCCTGAACACATTTGTATTATGTGAACTAATTTAAAGTTCACATATGAAAGTGCAGGACTTAAATCTTAAATTTTCAAAATAAACGTAAAAGATAACTGCAATGGCGAAATGCTTTTGGCAAATTCTATCTGATCTACATATTAGAGGTGAGTCAGAAACAGTAGAACACTCAGAAAAACAACTCTCCAACAAAAGGCAAAGTAAGATGAATAAAAGAAAAATTACACATTAGAAAGAAGAATTTAAAAAGGGAAAATTATAATAACTGCATATTAGAGGATTAACCCAAATTAATCGACTTTTAGTTATGCTTGAATCAAATACTAAGATTATACACAAATATATAGCTGTAATCACAACTCGTGAATTATTAATGTTTAATCAGTTTATGGGCACCTTAGTTTTGCTTGTCAGTGTGAGATAATGTTGTTCTCTACTAAAAGTGTAAGCCTTCTTTTTCATCTGCACTTCTTCAGCTATTCTAGCATAGTCCATGTTCTCTTTACAGAATGGATATATTACAGGTAATATTTGTATTCCAACTGTTTTCACCACTTAACTTTTTGGATTGGAGATTTTATCAATTAGATACTTTATAATTCTACTTAATAACATTTTGATTTTTCAAAAGTTTGCTCATTCTATCTCTTCTGTCTTACTGATTACCTAATCATGTTACAGAATAAAATGAAATTTTATGAAAACTTAACTCAGTATGTCTTTGAATGTAGTCGTTATATTGAGCTTTAGTAAGCTAAAACAAGCTTACGCAAAACTCTGACTAATAAAACTCTTCCACTAAGTATCTGGAGAAACAATATATAGTATCTATGGGCTTACGCCTGTCGAGTTGGGAAGAACAGGGAAAATTACTACCTCAAGGTTAATTGCATTTGTGTTCTTCACATCCAACATTCTTCGTAAACCAAAATTTCATTTTATTGTTCCGTTACACCACAAACTAAGTTACATATGTTGCATATAGAAAAAGGTATTTCATTTAATCGACTGATAAATTTTTAGACCATCTATTCCTTCTTTCGGCACTATTTAATCTACAAAACAATCTATGCCTAATAGTCAAGTGTTGTAAGCGCTTTTAAACTGTCTAAAGAATACTTTATTTATACGCCTTCATGTATCTCACTTCATTCACCATGCTTTCTCAAGGCATGTGACTCTGATATGTATGCTTCAGTTGTCTGCTCATAAGTTTGTAACACGTGAAAAATGTCCAAACTTTGAAAGTTCGTTCAATATTAGTAATGGATTAAATATTTCAGTTCAGCCCTATAACCCGCTACTGACACAGACGCTAGAAACACTCCAGTTAGATGGGGAGTATATAATCTGACAATCATGCATTTAGTTTACTACTTGAAAATATGGTAATATTCAAACTTGAGGGACAGTAATGAAAACATCGCTTAAGTTAAAAGGGTAAGTTGAAATTTACTTGTGAAATAACAGTTCGGTACATTCGAGGTATTTTCCTGGAATCATAATCTTGACAGGGTTCAAATTATTATTTTTATCTCTATCACTTTTCTTGCTTGAGTAATTTAGTCTGCCTGAGATGATCTTGTTTTTAAATTTTAAATAGACGAATTTCATCAAAACAAAGGTTAACGCAACAGTCACTTCGTAACTTACATATTCGTTAACATGATAATATCATAACTACTACCTACTGTTCAAAGATTTCTGTATCTTTCCAATCCCTTAATTTATTTTTTAGTCTGTCCTACAAGTACTGAATGAAAATATCTTCCTTGTTTCTAATTCTCCATTTATTCTCATTCTAAATTTGCACGGCCTAAGGTAAGTAAAATAAAAATTTCTTTATGTGCGATTATCAATTAGTTAGAAAATTACAACCAAAACGAAGCGTTAAGTTATAAAAAATTCAACTGTTGTTCTGAGTGAACTTTACATTTTTGTTTTATCTGCTAAGTCATCTGCCCTATTTCGGTTGTTCGATGAATGCCATAATGAAAGTCCTGAAAAGACCACAATATCCTCTAGTGGACGTTTGCTTCTGTATACTGATAACCTCTTGTTTATTAGGCAACGAAAATGATACATTTTTTTCTCATAACTTTCTGACATCATAGTTACAGCACTTAAGCTTTCTACCATTATGCATAGTAGTAATATAACATTTTGAAAACTCATAATAAGCAGGGAACCCAATGCATTTAATGCGAATCACTCAGTACTAATCTGAGATATGTAGCAAATTGTATTAGAAAAAGAAGCGGAATGAGGCAAAGCAAACTACGTGGTCAGTAATTAACTTTTCTCGAAATGCTAAGCAGTTATTAATACTGTATCAATGTTTGTTATATTAATTAAAGAAATAATACAGGATTTTGATCGAGATTTTACTCTTTCATTGGGATATTCAGCCTATTAGTTGTCATTCCCTTATCATCCTGATAGTTTTTCTGTGAAAGTCATGCCTAGATTGAAAAAGAAAACTCTGTCAAAGAACTCTGGACCGTGGAGTGTGTCTTTGTATCCCTCACAAAGCGAATGACTTTGGCTTTTCATCACAACTTTGAGACTTGATCTTCTGAGTTTTTACAGTGCTATGGGAGCATCTGATATGCCTGCAGTCATAAAAATACCAGCACCACATTTAATGGACAAAAATGAATGAAAGTTGAGACAAATAGTTAACAGCAATATACCTACTGAATACACATATTTCTTTTCATTTCTTATTAAGAATTTTAGAAGGATAAGAGTAATTTGAAAAGGAATCTAATCAAACTGCAGATCCTCATTTTTTTAGTTTCGAAAGTGCTCCTGTCGTTTGAAAATGCTACAAATAATTACTTTCCTTGCTGTAAAAAAAAAACAACTTTCCATAGATTGCAAGTGACTTTGATTCCGTTCCAATATGTCCTAATGACAAAATTTGAGTGACACTACTTTGTAGTTATCAGTAAAACAGGATACTAAATCTTACTGGTACTCAGATACATCCAGTTACTGAGTTCCGAATAAGAAATAACGATTACAGTCAATGACAACAAGACTAATCATTCTACGATACATAACCTTTCCTCTTATTTGAAATCGACAGCTACCGATAGTTCGCCAATGAAATTTCATTTAGTGAAATAGAACTAACCTTTTATGTTCAGATTCAGAGACACAACTGATTATATGAATCAAAAAAGTTTGTAGTTTGACAACTGAACACTCATTTTACAGCTGTCACTTCATTTTTTTAAAATTTAAATTCTGATTCAGGAAAAAGTCTAACAGTTAATGACAGTTTAAAATTATAAAGAGGTCTGTAGTTGCAAAGTGGATATCGTATTGAGCGAATAATTCCTATTCAACTCACTTGTTTTATCTTCAGCAAATGAAATGAAGTATTTTCACTACTTTCCTCCTTATGATGAGATGCCAGTTAAGCTTATTTCTAATTTTCGAAAAATGCCAAAATTGAAATTTTTCATTTTAGTCAAGAACAACAATGTCGACTTGCTAATCTACTTCAAGAATATCTGGGACAGTGGATGATGGTATCGCCTTTGCCAAGATATAGTAATCATCTGAACAGTAATCTCGGAAACAAGTTGAAAAATAAAGGCGGGTCTACTGGTCAAAGGTCAATTTACACAGTATGTAACATATGTCGCATAAGTGGTTCAACTTTTTGTAGACCTTTTATTTTTCAATATGATATTATTACTAATTATTTCATGTTACTACAAACGCAGTCAATAATTTATGTGAAATGAGGTGACAGAGGCTTAAAAAGTCTTGACAATCTGATGTATATGGCTGTATACAGGCTGCAGGAAACTCAAACCAAACACTGCAAAGATGATAAAATGACCAAGCACTACTTTGCCAATAACTCTTGTTGATCAAATTTCAACAACCATAAATCTATCTCTATAGAAGTTAAAAAGATGGATCACATCAACATCCGACTTTTATCATCTTAGTTACATATCTGGCTTAGCCTTCCACACAATTTTCAATCACTAGCCCACTAAGTAACAATTTCTACTTTTTAGATAAGACTTATTGAGGAATAAGAATCTTTTGCTTATGAGCTCTCCAATTTACTACATTCTTCATGATCTAGTCAAAACATAACCTGACTAGAATGAAGGAAAAAGCGTAACAACTAGCATAAGATAACTTTCTGACCTAATTCCATATGACATAGTAATGAATGAGAGATCAACAAACCGCTGATAAGCACAGCCCCGAACTAACCGTCCGGTGTTTAGATCACCTCAAAACTAGCTAGCAAGCACTACTGGTTGATAGCAGGGGTATACAACTATTCATCGCAATTAATCAGTATTATTTAGCTTAATGCGAATACAGATGTGCTGAAAAAATATCTCAGTTTGAAAGTTGCCAATTTTAGAAAAGCTTATGTCTTTGGTGCCCTGTGATCACTTAAACCTCTCTTTCTTTTCTTAAGTTCATCACAGCACATATTCATCTTAGTTGGTGATACAATATCAGCTGTCAGCACCCTTAAAGACAAAAATAACTTTGGAAATACCTCAGTTAATCTCAGCTATAAGAAAATTGCTAACTGCAAATGGAATTAAAGATTTTGCGTTATGATGCAAAGAGTTTGCCGGCCTTCAGTCTGGCTCAGAACAGTAGACAAATATGACATCGACTAATAGGATGTTTTGGTTTGGCTACTTTTCCAGCATTATATTTGGGTGAGTATTCACCGTATCTGTGGTGCAGTGTCTAATATTCGACAGGGATGAACTGTAGGCCAAATCTGCTCAGATATTTGTAGATAGTGTTCAAAAGACTGCATCTCCCTAATGTATTTAGTCTAAAGGATGATGCCATCCACACATTTAAAATGACCAACAACTTTTCCTGTAACATAAGAGTTAACCAGAATTATATTCATCGGTATGTCTTCATTGAATTAAAGCAATAGTGGTGACAATAACCATACGTGACGGAAATCACTGGATGTCTTTACTCCACACGACAGCTTTCCATGAGCCTTTGCTCAGTGATTTAGGTTTGAATACAGTGATTTCAGTATCCTAATACACTTGTTCAGAAACCCCTGCAGTCAGACATTGCCACGATGCCATTCGACTGACAAATCCAATGCCCTTCTCATGTCAAGAAATATAGATGTACATATAGGCATTGTCTTATTTAGAGAGAAAACTATGGGAAATGATTTGTATTTTTTTTTATCCATTTTTACCTAGCATACTATACATTAGTAAACTGTTATTATTGCTCCCATTTCTACTCAAATTTATTTATTCTCCACCAGTATGGTACATTCCTAAGACTGCATAAACATTTCCTACTGACTGTACTACCAAAACCGGACAGTTCACATTTCCTAAGCCGTATATATATATATATATATATATATATATATATGTAAATGAAAAATTTCCATATTGAAATCAAAACAAGATTTTGAGCGAACAATTGTTTTCGATAACTTCTTCAGGCTCTACAGTTATAAATCCATGAATAATAGAGTACATATAGCCAATAAAGGCAAATGAAAATAATATCAGAAACTATATTGGTGTGCATGTGTAAGTTGAGATGATAGTCCATTAGTTAACATAGTCAATTAAATGTGTATAGGGTGTATAGTCAGAAAAAGTGTGATGAAGTGTGAATGAACAATTGGGTGACATAGTGTTGTTTTATAGTCAACAGAATACAAATGTCATTGGGGTGAGAGAAATGCGATAACCACAAAATACATACAAATACACATTAACAAAGGAGGCACTGGATGTGAGGGTTGACCGATAATGTCTAATGATAAAATAAAGAGGATAGATTGTAAATTGTAATAAAATGCTACAGAATTGGTAGGCTTAGTATAAAACCATAAAGGTTGACAAAAATAAGAGTAACAATGAGGTGAAATAAACTGGGTGGAGAAATGGATAATAAAGACATGATATCACAAAATAATAATAATGATAATAATAGTACGAAAAAATTATGATCCTGGTGACCTTATAGTGGGCCAGGGTAGACAAAGAGAGTGAATAAGTTTTTTCTGTACACATAGATCTGGTCTCTCTCTATTAATCTCTAAAGCCTCATCTATGGCTAGGAGGCGTAATCGTGTGCCTTTGGGGAGATTGTTCAGTACTCGATACACAACTGTAAATAACTCATTTGCTTTGACACTGTGTTCGCTATCCACTAGATGAGACAGAATTGCACTATTTAATGATTTGGTTGCTCTTTTCTCAAGCCAAACAGGAATATGTTCACGAGTGTGTAAAGATAGATTCCTTTGGGCACGACCTATATAACTAGCTTCACAGGAGCAGTTGAACTTATGTACACACATTGATGTCGCCATTTTAGGTAATCTACGTTTAATGCACAGTGTCAATATCGGTTTGGTTGAGAAACTGATATGCAGTTTTGCAGCATTAAAAGTTCTTTCAATTGATCTCGTTAATCTACGGTTTTATACATCGCTGGATATATCGCCATTGAATTGTACATTTAAGTAAAGCTTTTTCTTACTGTGTTTCGCTTGGTTTTATGTGTAGTTTCATGGATATACTTCTTTACAAAGTTAATAGGATAGTCGTTTTGTAGCAAGGTGTTTGTAAGATTTCTTATTTCATCCTCAATACAATCGACGGTACATATGCGTCTTATTCTATGACTAAGACAACGAATTAGGTTGCGCTTATACTGTATAGGTATGAAGCTATGGAAGTAGGTGTATTGTCCGTTCCACGTTGCTTTCTATAGATGTTTCTCTTTAAGGTACCGTCTGTTCTTTTGGAATACTACCTCGGAGTTCCTCTTCACAAATCAATTTAATAGCTGGGTGTACCTTATTGAAGATTTGGAGCAGGTGTTGTCTATCCAAATTATTATTACAAATGATAAAGGTATCGTCAACATATCGACAATAATAATCGAAATGGTTTAGTATCTCTTTTAAAGGACCATTTTCCAACTTAGATAGAAACATGGGGAGAACCCTTAGGAACCCCATCTATTTGGCGGTAATACTCCTCATTAAACACAGATTGAACGTTTATAGTGTATTTTAGTAGTAATTCTTTCAATTTTCTTGGTGTGATCCCAATTTCTATTTTCTTTTCTACGAGTTGCTCGCATATGTAGTCGACAGTTTCTGTAAGGGGGACGTTGGTAAATAGTGATGTTGCATCCAACGATAACATAGTTTTGTCTGCTAGGTTCATATCTTTAATGTTTTCAACAAAGTTAAAGACATCTTTCACACCATATTTAACTAACTGGCGATGTAGCGGCTCTAACAGATTTACTGACCATTTGGCAGTTAAATGGAAGGGCGAATTCGACATGTCCAGAATTGGTCGTAGGGGAATTCCCATTCATTCTCATTCATTCTATCATCTCAACTTACACCCTGATACAGTTTCTGACATTATTTTCATTTGCCTTTATTGGCTATATGTACTCTATTATTCATGGATTTATAACTGTAGAGCCTGAAGAAGAAGTTATCGAAAACAATTGTTCGCTCAAAATCTTGTTTTGGTTATATATATATATATATATATATGCTTTACTAATAGTTTCTGTTTCCAATTGACTTGATAAAATATGACTGCTATACATATTCTTAAAGTAATGTAACTTCAGAATAAAGCAAGTTTGTTAACTCAAGATTGCCAAATGATTTCTACAGTACGTATATTAATTATTTTTAGCGTCATCTCCCTTCACCAGAAATGTTAAAGAACAAAGTACTATTAAGTATTCGTTTGGTCAGAACCAGTAAATCATTATCAGGTAAGTAAAACACTGTGTGATTATTTACGGTCAAAACAAATCGAAATTATTTTACAAACAGATGGTGTAATGGATGATAAATGAAGGTAGATTGGAAATCTGAATCATGACAACTGGATCTTCTCATCCAGCGAGTATAGCACTTTGATAGTAATCCGAAGGCTACAGGCTTGAATCCCCTTGCCACTGAAATTTTCAATTCAGCCTTTATAACCATCTATTACATCATTTGTAGTCTGCCATTTTCTAGGCTATCGTAAGTAATCTCACCATCACTTTTAACCAACTATGAAAACAAAAGTGTTATAATCCATACAAATTATCCCCTAAGTATTCTTGTTATTGAATCTTAATTGCTGGTATTGCTTTTTTTTACAAAATTTAAAGTATTTTGGAAAGACACAGCAGTTAATTTAGTCGCATTAATTATTAAGATTCAAACCTTCTATTCACTATCGCTAGGTTTATTTTTTATATGATATTTTTACAAATGACGTCTCTGTTTATTTCATCTTCAGAGAGTGGAAACAAATAAATCATACTCTATTGAAATTTTCGTCAACAGTATTGTCTAATTACAAAAGTGTCAAGATAACTAACTTAATCCTAAAAACTAAGATTAGCGCCAAGTCACTTACAAATGCACCTGTTAAACTAAAAGCATAAAATAAACTTTCAATAGACAGACAAGCCAGGCATTGTTTTGTCATTCTGGTGGATAACAAACGTTATGTAAATACGCGCGATGTGTACATATTATAGTTTTCGGGAAATTTATGTTGTTTTTATCCGTAATCCGTTTAGTTTATAAGATAGTAGACGACAGAAATGTTTAGTATTCAAGTGTTGGTTTGCGGGGATTTGATTTGAATGGTAATAGAACTTCATCATCAGCTGACATCAGTCAGAAAACCATTGGAAAACCTGAAAGTACTGGACAGCCGTTTTATCCTAGTTTGAGACTCTTTAGCAGTACACCCCTACAGTGAGTTCCAAACCAAATGTTCCCTAAGTGAAGTCAGCTGATGATGAAATCCTGTCACCGGAATGAAGTGTTTAGTTTGATTGTATACCTTGTGTTGTATGGTTTTATTGTTTATCAAGTGTACGTATCAGTGAGTAGGAATGCCGTTTACTTTATCAAGACTTAATTATTCAGTACTGACTATCGATCCACGTTTTCTACTCTTCTCAAGGCATCTTTTAAATACAGCTATTTTCGTCATCTGATATAAATAAAAATATGTACAGATTTTATAAAAATCATAGTTATAACAAGAAGAAAAATGCACCATGATATTTATTTCCCTCACTTAATTACCTAATAAGTCTCCTGTTTACTCATTTCCAATGGATTATTTCTGAAGGTGTAGATATTGCGCAAAGCTGGATTCTTCCTTATTGGTCAAGTTTGTTTCACATAGCACACAGTGATGTGGTAAATTCAACAAATTATGATACCTATCATATCAACTTTAAATGGTTACGACCTCGAAAATGTGTTCGAAATTTCATAATAATAATAAGTGCTGCATCATTGTTTGTCATATCAAAAACAACCTTACCCAATTTGTAATTATACTCCGTAAATGTGTCTAATTTCACCTCTCACACATACGAAACTGGATTCCGTTATAAAAGTTGACTAAATTGTAGTTGTTTTGATGGAAGAACCAATTTCCTAAAGTCCACTTAATGAATCAGATTAAATATTATCCCGTGTACAAAATTCTGAATTAACTGCCCTCTAGGCTGGAAGTTAGCCAAACAACATGGAAAACAAATGGTGAAATTAATGATCACGGATGCACACAATAGGATTAAGAAATACCAGCATATGATTAGATTTCAAAAGAAAAGCTTGAACAGACCCTTACCCCAGAACATCTATCGATATTGAATACTGCCATTAAAATGATAAGCGAACGGCACAAGGGAAACTAGCTAAGATATCCAAACAACCATCTGAAGACACTCTAAATGATCGCGTAGTAAATCTATCGAAACAACCATTGTCGAAAGTCGAAGAACAACTTCTTCAGAGAGGACTCAACTACAATACTGGTGACGCTTCAGTAACAGATTTCTGTGCTTCCTTTGAATCATCATTCAAATTAACAAAATTAAATGAGGAAGTACAACAGAAAATACGTCAATGTATCATACCTATACTCAAACAGACAAGACATAATTCCCAACTTAGCACTGAAGAGCTAAATGCATTGAAGAAACTAAAGAATAGAAAAGATATAGTTATTTTAACGGCTGATAAGGGAAGAACAACGGTAATCCTGGACACAGAAGACTACATAAAAAAAGAAGAGGATTTACTCAAAGATAATAATTTATATCAACAGTTGACGAAAAACCCTATACAAACATTCGATAACAAAATCAGAACAACGTTAAGTAAACTAACGAAATCAGGACAAATTACAGAACAAGATCAATGGCGAATGAAACCTAACGGACCTATTTTACCTCGATTCTATGGAAAACCGAAACTACACAAACCAAGCATTCCCTTGCTTCACTTCCAGGAACACCAACATATAATCTATCTAAAGAACTTTTCAGGAAATTAAATTACCTAACAGAATCATCCAACCATTATATCAATTCGTCAATCCAATTTTTAGAGAAAATCAAAAACATTCAGGTAGAAGACAATGAAATAATGGTGTCCTTTGATGTCATAGCATTATATATACATCAATTAGTTCAAAACTAGCAACAGAAACTATGCAACGATTACTCTATAGTGAAGAAAACATAAAAACGCAATGTTCAACTTGGATAGAACTCATAAAATTATGCCTTACAACATACTTCCAATTCAATACTCAAATATATAACAAATAAAAGGAACACCAATGGGATCGCCCATATCAGGATTAATAGCTGAAGCCGTTATGCAAAGATTAGAATTAATAGCTCTACCTATAATTAAACCGAAAATCTGGGTACGTTACGTCGATGATACATTCGTAATAATTAAGAGAAATGATTTAAAATATACCCATAAATTAATAAACAACATATTTGAAGACATCAAATTCACAAGAGAAGAAGAATTAGATAACAAAATCCCAATTCTAGATGTCTTAATCAGGAGAACCAACACAGGCAATTAAGAAACACAAGTATATAGAAAATCAACGCACACAGATCAAATACTCAGCTATACTAGAAATAATGCAGTTACTCACAAAAGAAACTGTATGCAGACATTGTTGAAAAGAGTTCAAACACATTGTAGCACTCCAGAGTTGAAAAGAATGGAAGAAAAATACTTACAAACGGTCTTCAAGAAGAATGCTTATCCACAAAATTTCATCAAAAAGTGTTTAAAATCGAATCACAACACCAACAAAGAACCATCATCAAAGACAGAAAGGAAATCCATCCTACCATACATGAGAAATATCTCTGCAATAACTGCTAGAATAATGAAACCGTTTGGTACAGATGTAGCACACAAACCAGTCAAATCGCTTAATTCGATATTATGCAAACCGAAAGATCCAACAGAAAAAGGAGATAAAATTAATACCATTTACAAAATAAATTGTATGAATTGTAACAGGCATTACATCGGCCAAAGTGGGCGTCCCCTTCGGATTAGAACCCAAGAACACGAATCAGCCGTGAAAAGACACGATATATATTCTTTAGTATCAATGCACATAGACAATTATGAACATCAATTTTACTGGGATAATGTCGAAATCTTAGACAGAGGAAACACCAAAAGTGCCAGGGAATTCCTAGAAGCCTGGTACAAACAAACACGTTAATATAGACCAAATATACCAACTAATAAAAAGTAAATCATGTGACCAGAAAGTTTAAAATCCAAGTCAATGGAAAATGGTCAATACATATGTAAAGATGGTTACCGGAAGACGCAATTATATCACTCATGGAAAATTTAAATCATTTCACTTTATGCTATTTATTGCGCTGAAGATGTCGTCCAGAAAGACGACGAAAGCTCCGCAACTAAACCAACCAGCTCAGAGAACACTATTAATTGCAAATTCTGAAACTCTAAAAGTATGTGGGCTGTGTATTTCCACAATGATGCCTATATATATATATATATGGCTAAACTTCTCAAGTAACCTTTTCCAATAGTTCTGAATAAGGACATTTCAATAAGTCATTTTGTTTGAAGCAAACACAAGGAAAGAGGAAAGAAACAGACGCATTTATAGCATCTGTAAATTTACTCAAAAATATATTGAATAATCTAATTGCAGATAAAAAAGCAAAAAGTATCGCCGTGCCGACTTGAAGAAAGGCTACCTTTTCAAGCTGCCAAAGGGTAAGAACTGGCGTGGAATAATGCTCTTCTCCACGCCAGATAAAATACTGTGTCGGTTCATCCTGGAGAGAATAAAACATGCATTGGGTAGAGAACTCCACCAGCCCCACCAACCAGAACAAGCTGGATTCAGGAAAGGTACATCATGTGATGATCGAATTGCAACTCTATGCATCGTCATCACAGAACAAATCACAGAAGAGAATGGCAGTCAAATCCCTCTACTTCCCTCATCCACTTTGAAAAGACAACGGCTTCGACAGACGGCGTTGACGGAGAAGTGACTTGGAAACCGCTTCAACACTACGGAGTGCAGTGCACAAGTCTTTATCACTCTCATTCAGCATCTGGCTATATGACAGTCACGTGTTAGTCAGGCGATCCACAAGGGAAACTCGGCGAGGTATTCGAAGTGTATACAGGGGGAAAACATTGCAGTCTGACTATTATCACCATTTATATTCCCAATCGCGGTGGCCTGGGTCAGACTGTGAACAAGGATTGAGAAGAAAGGAATATATAGGGATGGCCAATAAGAAATCTCTAGAAGATCTGTATTTCGCGTGTGGATGATTTATGTCTAATGTCACACAAACTTGAAGACTTACAGGTGAAAATCAACAAACTGCTCAACAAATATGTAGGAGAAAATGGAAATGGATCGGGCATAAGTTGAGGAGACCGTCGAATGACATCGCACGTAATGCAGGCCATCTCTCGAGTGGAATCCGAATGGGAAGCGATGAGTGGGTCCTCAGTGTGAGGGTGACACGGAAGATATCATGTGAGGAGGAGATGAGAGATTACGAGCAATCGTGGATCCAGCTGAATAGGACAGCAGAGAATAGAAGAAAGTGGAGATGTATTGTTGAAGCCCTATGCTCCACTCGGAACCAGAGGGAATAATAGTAATAATTGCCGTCGTATCAAGCACTCATAGAATATAATGACAAGTATAAGCAATGATGCTGGCATCCGAAAACGGTGATTTTCCATATATAAAGAACAGATAGGCACAAAAGGAAATAAATTTCAAACTATACCCAACTTACTTCCATACCAATAAACAAGTAGTAGATTTGCCTGGAATTCTATCTCCCTTGATACGCGAAATTACATTACGTTCTTAATGGCATCACGTGTTCGGCTGTGCAGCATCAAGAGATAACTTTGTGAGCATAATATCTAATGAAGTGTTATAGGTTAGAACTATCAACCCCTTGATCTTCCAGGTTCTTACTTGAGCGACATACGGTTATCTTTAAATTGTGAGAAGTCTAACTTTACTGTGATGGAATATCAATGTAAATTAATTTCTTTTATTGACATACTACTTCCTGATAGTCTTTAAATGATTAGAGGAAAAACCTTTTAACTGAAGATTGTTTAGTAAGCTGTGCAGATTCACAAGCAAAAACCTAAAAGCTGGTGATGTCACGATCAGCCAGGATGGGATAGGTGAAGCAAAACAGATGTTTATTGATCTGAAACTAGCGTGTACACCTCCAGCACTCAACGCAACGAACAACACCGAGACTTTTGACACTAATGTCACGTCTCTGCTAATGTATGGTTCAGAGACTTGGAACTCCGGTTGTTAAAAGCATTCCCGACGCCTTCTCTAGATCGATACGGAATTGCAGATGGTTGGTTAGTCAGAAGAGATAATCAACAATGAAGTATAACCAAATGCTAACTAACTAATAACCCAATACCATGGAGATGGAAAGTGTTGATGCATTGAAGATACACCGAGAGGTCATCAAGTGTAACCCGATAGAGAATCGTTGGATTCAAGGTGGAAGTGATGGCAGGAATTAGAATGCAGTGAAGATATTCAGCTAAATCCCTCTCCTCCATTCGGTAAGGAATGAATGAATAATAATAACAATGTGGGCATGAAACATATATAACCAGCAGAATACCTTCAACACTTTGACGCCCTTACAATTTCAGGAAAGTCAAGAGACTATCAAAGTAGAATCTGAAGTTTGTCACGCTGTTTAATATATATATATATATATATATATATATATATATATATATATTATTATATATATATATATATATATATATATATATATAATTGTGTGTCAATTTCCGAACGAACTGCTTATATGATTTCAAACTTGACAAATCTTACTAATTTTTTTTCAGAGGATCAATCTCAGGAACTAATATCAAATACAGTAAGTATACAACCATCCAGTTTCACATTTATTTAGATGTCGATAGTTAATTAGTTTATAATCATCATCTGTTGACCATTATGCTTATTTGTACACTGTGCTTTCCACAAAACGGATTTCATCTTTATATTTAGCAATCATCTTGAACTCGAATTCACTTTTTATAAATCTAACTGTTCGCAACCTTTATGTAAAGTTTTTTTCACAAAAAATACCAATCTCAGAGACATAAAACGAATCAGTTCTATATTCTCAATAACTTGTCAACTACTTATAGTCTGAATTATCAAGTATATAATTATGTTGCAAAGTTAACACACCTCACCCTATTGAAAAAACAAAACATCAATGCATAGTTAGGACATAATTATAGCTTGCTGATAAACTATGAAGTTCGAAGAAAATTTATTGATATATGGTGAACAGCTTCCGCTATACATAGCGCGATTCAAGTATATTTCTAACTTTATTCACTTGTGTGCAAAGTGACGAACTGCTTACAGCATTGGGCAACCGAAGTTTGCACAGAGTACAAGACGTTAAATTTACTTGGTTATGCTTTCTTTAACCACTTATTTACACCCTTGAAGAATAATCTGTACCTGTGTGCACTTCTGAATAACTTTCAACATCATGCTACGTCTGTTCTGAAGAGACAAGCAAGTCGGAGGTTAGTGCGTGTTGCAGACAGAACAAAATTCTGTCGAATGATAAACTTTAGATTACTGTTTAATCTGGAGATTTTGTACAATGGGTAGATGAAATCACGCTGAAAATTCTATAATGTATGCAAAAATGTTCAGAATAAAGCCATTAATATTATAATTATTGTTAAATGAGAATGTTAGCCACTAGTGTCAGTTATATTTTAAACAACAAAGACATTTTATCTCAAATCACAAAATTTACTTAAAGTTTAGTTGCCTCCCCGTAAAATATTTAGTCAGAGTACTAATATGTCTGCTAAAAAGCCAGACCTCCTTATATTTATCTTGCAAACCCTATTGATGCATACTTTGTGACAGATTATACCTCAGCATTAAACCTTCTTTTTAGAATACCTTGATTCTTATCTATCAGAATTCACAACTGAAGAAATATCACCTCGTAGAATTACACAGTGACTAGTAAAGTTTTGAATATTCGTTTACTTTCATAATGCAGACCATAGCTACTACTCGTTGTTAACCTGAGGTCTAAAAGCATTTCATTTAGCATCACAGTATATTTGAACTTAGTTTTGACAAATTCCACTAAAAATCTATTGACTTCAATATTGCTTCACAATAAAGTGAGACCAAACGCTGAAACTGAAAGTTCCGTAATAAGCTTAGTGTTAAAGGCCCATCATTCTACAATCTATTTCCTTGTATGCTTTCTAGCTGTACTCCATGGTGGCACACTGACTAGTCGTCGATAAATTCTCTTTAAATTTTCGTTGATTACTATAACCAGTCTAGTTAATCAGGTTGCATATAGCTAGTTTGAATTACCTGCAGCTTAGATGAGGAAGAAGCAAAACCATGTTTTATTTTCATCGTTATATGAAAGTCCTCCATAGTGCTCGGCATTCACTGAACAACATGCTATTGAAGAAGTTGGAAAATTCTGTATTAAAATCCGTCAACGAATTTCTCTAAAATCAAATGGTTTTCATGATTGAGTTATGTACTGAGATGGATAATTAAATGAATGAGTTTTAATGATATCTCTTGTCACTCACGTTGTAAGAGTTTACAGGTGTGACACCCTAGAATGAGGATTAGACTCTCTGAGAAAATCATCATCCAAAATCAATATCTACCAAGGTTTATTGATAAGAACATCAGACTGGAAATTAGGAGACATGAAAAATCGTTAGTGTCAGTTAAAGACCTTGCACGAACCTTGATTTCAAGGGTGATCTAACCTCTGATGTCTTCAAGAGAAGAATTTCAACATCTTTGAGGACATTCTTCACAGCAACTGTGTAATACTAATGTTCTTCAGTTTTCTGCTAGTCTTCAAAAGCTTGACTACTTCTATAGGCATATATTAGTTCAACTGCTCCTGTGGAGTCAGATATACCGGCCGTTTAACATGTATATTTCCTAAAAGAGTTTATGAACACTACTTTGCATGATTGAAGGCAGACAGCAGGCGTTCCATGTGGGACCCAATAATTAAACACTGGCTGCTCTGTCTCAACAAATTCCTCCTTCATAGTGACCCACAAAGCGAAGAGCAGCCTACCGAGAACAATACGCATTGACCACTTTCGCACTGGTAAAGCTCTAGGCACATAGATAGGGAAACTGAAGCTCTGCAGACAAAGGTAATTTCTTCAACCACCTCTACTATGATAGTAATAGCCCTGTTGTTTTTATCCAATATTTTTCTTTTCTTTTTGAACTCTTTAAGCTCTTTTGTTCTTTCGAGTTCTTATGCAATTTTGTATTTCTATTGTTTCTATATGAATACTGATTAGAACTAATTAGTTAAATCACTTATCTGACTACATAACTCTGTCACCCTTATTCTGCTCCTCCTGTGTATTGATCAATATTGGTAAGAATGCCTATGAAAGTTTATCTCTCTCACTTGGTAAAAAGGCTGCATATAAATGCGCTTGTACAGGTAAAGAAAGTGTGTAATTGGTTAAAAATACCTCTTTTTCTATAACTATTAGTTTCACTTTTCATTAAGCAGTTTTAGTTAGAAATAAACCACTTGGATATTATTTAATACCAATAACCTGAAAGCTGATTTCATAATACACTTATGTGCATGTAAATAAATGAATATACACTCTAGCAATGATGAAACGTAACTCAACAAACTCATAGTGTTAACTAATAAAAATGTCATTTGACTGAATGTTAATCTTTTTTTTCCTCTTGTATTTTATTACACACATTAATAATGAATATCACGCCAAAAATTTTGTTTCAGTTCTATTTTTATTAGCATATTTTGTAATATACTAAGCTGTTGAGCATAAACCTTCCATTTATATTATTGTCGTTAGAATATTTCCATTTGTGCACTATTATAATAGCCGCCACCACACGCAGACATAGTGAAGGCATTACACTATATTAAATTCGGAAAACTGTCATATCTCTCATACGTAGCAGCATTTTCCAGGTATATTTATTTACCTAAACGCATAAAAAAAACTTGGTACAATATGGCACCAAGAAAGATGCGCCACACAATAATAATAAAACAACATAGATCAAAAAAAAAAAAGGAAGGAAGGAAAAGAAAAAATATATATAAGTAGAGAACGGATAAAGAACTTCATCTGGAAGGAAAACAGTCATGCTTAACAAGTTCAAACAGTGTTCGTTAACTATCATCGGGAAGGGAAGAAAGAAGGAAATCGCAACACATTCGCCACTGATTACGATTCTTGGCCATATCCGATAACGTTTCGAGCCATCGATTTGAGCTATCTCTCGGACCCCAACCAGGGAGTCGTGACACACCAACCGATGCTAATCTAGCACAAAAATCCTTCATCCCACGACGCCACGTCATGGACTGACCACCTCTCCGCCTTTTCCATCCCGTCCCAGGGCTAGCGAACAGAGACCTGTACGGAAGCCTCTGGGGTGACATTCGCAGCACATGTCCAAGCCACCGGAGCCGGTGTTTCCAGATGACGACATTCAATGAATGGTGATCTCCACTTTGTTCAAACACACGCCGCCGAACCTCAGAATTACTCACGCGATGATGCCATCGAACGCAAGCAATCCTGCGGAGACAGCGGTGATCGAACACGCAGAGTCGCCGCACATCCTCAGCTCGGAGAGGCCAGGTTTCACAGGCGTAGAGCAGCGCAGCCCGCACCGAAGCATTGTATACCCGACCTTTGACAGCCAGGCTAACGTCGCGACGGCGCCAGAGGTGGCTCAAGTTGATGTATGCCACCCTAGCCTTCATTATACGGTTGGAAATCTCATCCGTCACCCCTCCGCCAGCACTCACACAACTACCCAGGTACACAAACTTATCAACAACTTCAAGCGGTTCACCCGCAAGAGTGAGTGCAGGTACAGGCTCCTGCCAATCTTGTAACAGTACTTTGCACTTAGACGGCGCAAAGCACATACCATACTTACAGACACTGATCGCCAACTGATTAAGTGCGATTTGGGCAGCCTGCATGCTATCGCACAGTAAGACGATATCGTCTGCATACTCGAGGTCGAAAAGTCTATCTCCAGGTAGCAGATCTACACCACCTTCACGCACATCCTTCAGAGCTGACTCCAGAATGTCATCGATGGCAAAGTTAAAGAGAAATGGAGAGATTGGGCAACCCTGTCTAACCCCACTGTTGGTTGGGAACAGTGGTGATAGTTGGTTGTATGCCCTCACTCTACCTGAGGTGTTTCTGTATAGGGCTTTCAAGATGTTAACAAATTTCTCAGGTACACCTCTCTCTAACAGACAGTTCCAGAGCACAGTTCTGTCCAACGAATCGAAGGCAGCCCTAATATCAAGAAACACAACGATCGTTGGCCTGCAATACGTGTGGCGGTGTTCCAACAACTGACGAAGGGTGAACACATGATCAATGCATCCACGACCTGAACGAAACCCAGCCTGCTCTTCGCGAATCAATCCTTCACGTATTTTGCACAGTCTGCGAAGCAAGACAGCAGCCAATATTTTAGACGCGACTGGTAACAGACTGATACCCCTATGATTGTCACACGAATTACGTCGACCCTTTTTAAAGATGGGGACGATAATGGCTTCGTTCCACATTGATGGTACACTCTCTGTCTCCCACACCTTCCTGAACAACCCAGTTAGAGCCATTGTGAGAGTCTCGCCACCATCTTTAAAAAGAGCCGGGGGTAATTTGTCTGGGCCGGGCGCCTTATGGCGTTTCAGAACTTGGAGTTCCTTACGGACCTCCGCTTCGGTGGGTGGGTCGGTACTAACCGACCAAGGAGCACTCGGGCTAATGATAGTAGACACTGAAGCTGGTGGCCAGCTGAACTGCTTCCCGAAGTGCTCTGCCCAGCGTTCCAGGCGTCTTTTCAGGCTGGTAATTGGAGTGCCATCTGCCTCACAGACCGTCTCGCTGACACCTTGTTTCTTGCTGCCGGTGGCTCGTATGAGTTGGAACAGCTTCCGACTGTTGCCAGATGCAGCAGCTGACTCCATCTCACACGCACGTTCTGACCACCAGGCTTCGCGGTCCTTACGTAAACACTGTCTAATCTTGCGCGTGAGCGCCTTTCGCTGATTGTTGTATTCGCTGCCAGCCGGAATGGACCGGCGTTCATCCATGAGTTGCAAGGAACTCGCAGAAACCCAGTGGTTGTTAGCGGAGCATTCTTTCAAGCCGCAAGCGGCTACACTCGCCTTTTGCATGGCACCTTGCACATGAAGCCAATGTTCATCTATACTACTTGGGGGGTTGCTGGCAAGCATTGTTTTTAACTCATTCTGATATTTCAAAGAAGTAGCAGGTGCTACTAGTTTGCTCACATCAACGCTTAGACGACGGCTTTTACGAACCCCACCAAATCGCAAGACGAACTTGGCACACACTAACGCATGATCGGAGTCCAGGCATGTGCTCCAGAAGGAGCGACAGTCTTGTATGCATCCTCGCCACCGGAAACTGACCGCGATATGATCAATCTGAGTCCAAGCTTGCTTCGCAGAGGGAGGACGCCAGGTAGCGCTACGGCGATGGCTGTGCCGGAAGTTGGTGCTAGCTAGAAATAGGTTGTGATCCGCGCAAAGCTGCAGAAGACGGTCCCCATTATCTGACCTGCGACCATGTAGTCCCCACTGACCACCTAGACGATTCTCCTCTGAGCTTAGACGCCCCACCTGTGCATTCAAGTCCCCAGCCAGCACTACGATATCCCTCCGACCCGCCTGTTTCAAGAGATCGCTCAGTTGGTAGTAAAACTCATCCTTCATTGCATCCGGGCTGCAATCCGTCGGTGCATAGGCAGAGACAACAAATAGACACCGCCTATCTGGCCTACTACTCTTACTTTCGTATAACCTTCCAGCCTCACAGCACATAAACGACTGTTAATGGGAATCCAGTCGAGCAGTGCAGCTTCGGCTCTAGCGCTCAGTGCGACACCGACACCAGCTACGCCGGATGCCGACGCCACAGGGTCCCCGGATAAGCGCAGGTGGTACATACTACTAGAACTTCCAGATGGAGAGGATAGTCGAAGCACTTCACTGGGATCTTGAATGCGGGTCTCCGAAATGCAGCAGACATCGATAGCGAGGCTTTCCAAAGTTCTTGCCAACCCTGCCTGTTGTCCGATTTGCATCAGCGTCCGAACATTGTAGGTAGCCAGCTTGAACGCAGCACGCGGTTTCAGGATATCCGTGTTAGATGTCACATTGGGAACAACCATTTTGAGGACTACTCACTAACATCTCGAAACGACACGGATAGGCTGGGAATCTCGACAAAGGCGAAAGGCTGTCGAAGGTTAAGAAGCCAAGGTTAGAAAAGGTACAATACAGGAAACTATGTATAAAAATAAAAGTAAGGTAGGAAGGAAATAAGTTCCTTGAGGGATCAATATTGCTTGGAATCATTTTTACTAGCGGCGTTGAGTTTCAATGGGAGTTCGTTGCTTTAATTCATTCATTGTGTGCGGGCTGAGATACTGCCCGGGCGCCCAGACCGAAGCAGGTGGTTTTATTAAGGGACCACCCCCGAGCCTTTGACTTGGAGTCTAATCCGCAAGGCAGCGGAGCAGCGTCAGGAGCTGCATTCCCATGGTTGCCGGTGACCCATATGGGTTCATACGCCATTTGATCCGATTGGAAACTGGAGCCCATGTACCCCATGGTAACTGCTTTTAGTTTAACCGCTATCCAGAAAACCTTCCTGACATGGTAGGACCTGTAGAGACAGAGTCCCAGTCAGTTCAGCTTGTTGGGTCATTGCGGTATTCAAGCCCGACCACCACGACAAGGTAGCAGTTATCGGCCGGGATTTTCCAGGTATATTATTTATTCATTATCCTACGGAAATTGTGCCTTCCTTACCAAAGCTTATCCAATTCTGATATATAATAATGTGTGATGAAGTTTGGTTAGACTGTAAAACACAATAGGAAGATGATGCATTTGGACGATAATAACAACTTTAAATTGATTAGGATTTTAGTGACAAACACTTGAAAATCACCGTCCACCAAACTGTTGCCATAGTGCCGTGTCAGTGAAATAAAGAAACTAAACTAATAATTTTATTTCAGTTGCCTTCTGATCATTTTTCCAGTCACTGCTTTACTCTACTGGCTGAACTGATATACTCCAGATCACAGCCTATCATCATGTCGCCATTAATTCACATCTGCAAGTGTTTATCAAAAGAATAAAAGAATAATTTATTTAAAATAATGTTTAGTAGGCTACAAACTTCTCTCAATAACTTCGTTGAAGACTGATTATAGTTTTAACTGTATTCCGTTCACTCTAAAGTAACAACATGAAGTTAAATACGGATGCATATTTCAACTCGGAATTCTATATATATATATATATATATATATATATATATATATGAATTCACAAATATACATCTCCATATTTAATCGATCAATTAAACACAAATGAACATCATCATTAACAATTCATCTGATACTAGTTTGTTCCCATTTCCGTCATATGCTAACTCCTCGGTACAGTAATAGACATTTAAATGAACATCTGGTTTCAGTAGATTATTGTAACAAGAAAATTAAAACAGCATATTTTTGTTGTCAAATTAACAGAATTTACATTAATAATGATATACAAGAGTGAATTTACAAAAATATGCATAGTGTAAACAAGCATAGATCACATGTTTAATGACTGTAATATTCACTGATAAAATAATGAATCATGAAAAAGGAAATTACACAGAAGCCTGGAAATATAGATGAAATTTCTTACTTACAATGTAGATAATCACGTAAATGTAAGGATTAATTCTACCTTATATGTTTAGTTAGGCACTACAGGTTTTCTAGTGTTTTAAACTAATGTGAAGAAAATACTATTTCTGCACTTTAGGAAATAAGAAAAGTACGCTTTAATGAATACATATTTGTATTATTAAACGGTCGAAACAAATGTTTATTATTGTGAAACATTGGGCATTTATAATAGATTATATATAATAGTGCATCATTCACTAAAGTAATCTCTACATCATCAGAAAGTAGTCAGTATCACTCAGGATAACAGAAACACTATTTGGAAGTACGGTTTAGATGACTGTGATACTTCTGATCACCAATAATGTTTACAGTAAGCTTCAAATAATTCTTTAGTCCATTTGATTCATAACATTACATATGTTAACTTTTGTCATGAATATTCATAATAACAAAGGGAAAGTGAGATGGATAAAACAGGCTAACTGTACATACTACAACTCTGTTGGCATAAAGCTAATATTATGTCTCAAATTTACATTACTCAATATATCAGTGCATTACATATAGTGTAATGCGTCTTCAGGAAGCTTTTGAAACACATGAACATGTATTTCATGCTGAGCAGAACAAATAGCAACTAACCAAAATGATATTCCTAATTTCTTCGGCGTTACAAAGCTCATTAGTCCTCATCATGGTCGTAAACCCTGTAAGGTCAATTAAAGCTACTTCTTGTAAAACATTATGAGATGCTTCAGTATTTTAAATTAAAGTGCAGTGTTAACAATAGGGTTTTCTATGGGCTGAGATTAGTTTTGAGATAATATGTAAACTTACTTTTAAGGATATATATATTAAATATATATATATATATATATATATTTCGTCATTCGATTAACAGTTCACGCTGATTTGAGGAATTCTTTCGGGGTTAGGCTATTCTGACGTCTTGTAAGACATCAGCCTACATCAAGAAATCTACACTAAATACACAACTTTTTCAAACTAAAACAACATTCGACCAAGAAGTAAATTTCTCATATAAACAAGTAGCTTTAAACTGAATACTCACATTAATCTAACTAAGATTAAGATATAAATAGTAGATATTAAATTTTATGATTGTTTAATTTCTGTATTTGTAAATATACCCAGTTACTTCCCTTACATAGTAAGAGTAATATTTTTTACTAATTAGCATAATGAAGTGTCTCTCCTTTCTCTATCAAACACATTGTAGTCACGGAATATCTCTCCGACCAAGAAGTTTATGATGAATCCTGAAATAACCGCACCACTTACAGTATTCGTCACGAATCCTGAAGGTGAACAAAAAGTAAGACAATTACTGTTTTTAAAATGAAAATATTCTTTTAGCTATATAGTTTGATGGATTATTGAATGTCCTCTGTGTAAATAAGGAACACAACTAAAGCAGAGAGTTTTTAGGTCACTTTAAACTGTTTTATTTGTAGTTGAGCTCATATACATGAATGTGCGCAAATAAGTATTTCAATAGAAGTTAGATTTAATATCTGTTGTCATTTAACCAAATAAAAGTGGACTGTTATTGTCAAACAGTGAACTTATTTTTGACTTTACTAGTGTTTGACACAAAATCTCACGCTAATGGCTATTTCTACTTTCAAGCATAAAAACACTTGTGAATGGCTGAGACTATTTCACAAGTCAGATGTAGGCGTGTGAGTCTTTCAGTTACTCTTTCTGCTACCTAGACTGTTATGCATTGAGTAAAAGGTCTTCTAAGCAGTTCCTGATTTTCAATAAGTGTATAAATATGAATTGAAAACTTCTCCTCCAGCATAACATTGAAGTTAATCACTTTTTAAAATTAATATAACAGAATAGATATCTTGAAGTAAGAGAACAACAAATTTTGTTATTTTGGTGTCAAATTTCTAAATGGATTAAGATAAATCAACTACCATTCACTACTGACTTATCAACCACACAAATATCTCACAGAAATTCAGTAGGAAGAGAAAGGAGAGGTTTTAGTAACTGACGTTTACTTTATGCATCCGAAAAGAATTAAACTGTCAATTTTCATCCATTTTTGTTGTTTGCCCCGCTTAGTATTTTAATGTGAAGCAATATATACAAATCATCACTTATAGCTATCTCCTGAGTTAAAATTATAAGTCATCTAAAACGAAAATGACGGTTAAAGGTTCAGGTTATGCTTTAACTGATCCGACTAATTTTCTGATCGAAGCCTGCGAAATGTCAATAACCTGTAATAAGACACCGACGGAAAATGTAACGCACTTAAGATATGCTCTGGATAGGGGAAAACCGGTGCTTTCTGCTGAGAAAATGTCATTTTTAAGCGTTCAGTGGGCAAGCAACTCAAAATGACATTCAGATATTTTAAACATAATATCACTTTATCAGTGAATAATAGACAAAAATGGATATTCATGTCCTCCATGAAAACATTTTGGAAGCGTTTAGCTACTAACAATGCTTTTAAGTAACGCGACTAGAAATTAATAATTTATATACAAATGATTAATTTATCTTTCAGTCAGCAAGTCAAGATATCGGTTCTACAAACAGTAGTAGTCAGATAAGTCCTCCAACTACTCACAAATTGAATTCACCGAAATTACCTAACAAAACTCCATCTCCAATAACTTCACCTTACATGGAACATCGTAATCCAAACTGTTCTGCTTCCCCAAGTTACAACATGTATACAAACACAGTTACAGACCGGAATGCTACATTTCCTAGTCAAGATGAAATTACGTATCTACACCCGCGCTTAGCTAGACTGGCTGTATTACTAACCCCAGAGTTTCCTTCTGATACATGTATAGCACTTCACAATCAATACTCACTCAATAAAACTAAATTAAACACTGAGAAAGGTGACAGTAATTACTGTTCACAGTCTCACATATTTCATAAGTCAGGGCTTAAAGGTAAATCAGACGAATCCAAAGTAGAGTTAATCCATCACGAAAATTCTCATATTAGAAATCCTGAAACAATTCAAGAAGCTGGTCAGCAAGTAGAAAAACAAATAGACGAAGCTGAACTGCTTACTTCAATATTCAACATAATCACTACAAGAAAAGCGCTATTAAAACATGAAGAACGAAAAAGAAAATTACTTAAACATCTAGTCAGTGAAGTTTATGGAGATGCAACCGAACAAAGGTCAGCTGTTTCACGTAGTATTGCTTCTTCCTGCAACATTAAATGTGCATGTAAGTCTATAACAAAAATATTATATCTGTACTAGCTTACAAAACCCTATTGAGATTGTTTGATATTATGTGTTAAATTAAAACTGTATAGAAATTATAAGATAAAACTATCTCCGTATTTCACTTGTATTTTAACATCTTACTGACAAGATATATCTGTTGCCTTGCAGTAAGCAATGTCCTTTGTAATCCTTTCTATTCAAAAATTGATTTCCCAAAGAGCTGTTACTGAACCATTCCGTCATTTTTGTAGTTCTGTTGCTTAAACTGTACTTCTTCGAAGTAAGTGACGTTCCCATATTAGTCAGATCACGTAACCTACTTGTTTAAGTTTGATGTTTTAGACTTTAGTCTGTAGAAGGTATAAGAAACTTGATATCCATGAATTTGGCATTCGGTAAATGATGCTCAGTATCATAACAAGTTTTAATTTCCCGATAGAAGAAAAAGGACCTTTTTGTTTCCACTGAGTGCTAATGGCTGAATTAAATTATTGGTAAACCAAGAGCTTCAAAAATTTCAGGCTGTGTAGTAACTCAGTCAAAATCCTTCCGTATGATACAACTTTAAGTTGTCAGCTTAATGGATTATCGAAGATAACAGATATGTATAGATTGCTGGATTAGATAAGTACATGGATTGTGAAAATAACATGTTCACATTACCAATTTTTGGCTGAGACTTCTACAGCAATACCACAGAATGTATAGTATTTGGTGCGGTGTAGTTCTCTGGTTTATTTCGCTCATGCTGGAAAAATTGTTCAAATATCTGCGACTGATATTTTATCATTCTAATGACAACTGTTTAGTGTTCTCTCAATAAAAAAGATCCATAAGAATCTCTTTCAACTGAAATATAGTGAATTTTAATATCTTAACTCTCTCCGTCTGTTTCATTCTACAGTACCAACGCAAATCAGTTCATGTATGTCAGTAGAAGTGATTTTTATAAGAATGTATATCTTTCTATTCTCTGGTTAGCCAAATTTATACACTCTGTTGTATTAACCAACCCTGACCACTACTTCGACTTACAAACTTGATATTCTGAGCTGATTAGTATACCAAATTACTTTGCTTGACTAAATCTGTTCAACTTCCCAAAGTACAAGGAATTCCACTTATTGAGTTTGTCAGTTTATACTACCAATCTGATCTTGGTTTTTTCAAGAATTTTATGAAAAGCTTCTTGAGATAAAGCCTCCTATAACCTGTATACTTTTCTGCTTCTTTTTCAAATAACATACTGTGAAATGGATATGCAGATACATCGGTTAAACGACAAGAACAGAACAATCTACCGGAAAAAGTCGTCTCAAAACCACATAAGGGTTGGTTTAAGAAACGTGTGTGCACTTCACCACCGAAAAAGTCGGAACAAAACGCGGAACATAAGGATACCTTTCTAACAGCAACTGTTAGATATGCCCGACGTCTGTCGAATGCATCAATACAGAAGTTCAACCGCTCATTTAACTCCTCAGCAGTAAATACAACACCTGATATATCAATGGATTGTCTAGACGAAAAGAAACACTCACAACATTCAGGACTGATATGTGAAAAAGCAGAAAACCGACAGGTGAATGACTTCAATTACATTTTAAATGTTTGTTACTTTTACTTCATAATAAATGAAAGCTATTAGAACTCCCGACTAAAAATATTCCTGACAAATCATACTCACCGTTTGATATCCATTCACACTAAAAGTGTCGCTAAAAACCTATCGCATCGAGGAAATAATTTTTTCTGAAAGAATAATGAGTTCATCTCCCTTATTTTGTATCGTCATTATTCTTCGTTCCTTGAGTTCTGAATTGAACACAGGACTTCATCAGCACACCTCCATCACACTCACTTGCAGCTGGCTACTTGACAGATCACAAACTTCCATCTCTTCCATGCTACCCTAGGACGCCAAACCCATCGATTTCTATTCAGCTACCAATCAACAATCTGCCACATGATATCGCTCAATGGTCACCTCGCATATGTCTAAGGCATATCCAGTCCCTTCTCCATATTTCCTGGTTAAACAATAGGTTCTTAGCTGGTTTTGTGCCTGTCAAAGTCCCTTGTTGATTATACTTTCTGAACAGTCAACCATGTGATGTTAAGTATCGAGTCGGAGAAGGCATTCGTTGACGGAAATGCTTTTCGTGAAGACAGCGCCAAGTCTCTGAATCATACAAAAGCAGTGACGTGACATTAGTGTCAAGAGTTTCGGTGGTGTTCGTTGCGTTGAGTCCTGGAGGTCTACACGCTAGTTTTAGAACAATAAACGTCTGTTTTGCTTTCCCTATCCCTATCCGATCCTGGTTGATCGTGACATTCTCATCTGTGATGCTCACCTGTAATCGAAACGATGCTGACCTACTTACTAGTCAGTCAGGTAAGTGAAAGAGATTAGTTCCTTTACATCCTTCCCGTTGATTGTGATTGGTGCTTGCTGTTGTGGTCGGTAGTGGTGGTGGTGGTCATGTATCTTTGTCACATCTATCTTCTCTATGTTCACCTTGTTTCCTTTCTTCGCTGCCTCCTCCTTTACCAACTTGTTAGTTTTAGCTTGTTTAAATCGATAGATCAGAAGTTAAACTGCAAACAGTTACTCCAACCTACATTAACCTTCGTAAATGAATAAGTGAAGATTGTGTACAAGTCACTCAGTAAGATGAACGTTTCACTCAATTTGTTTCAGTTAATACTGGCGATGAGAAAGTCCTTTCTTTGAAAAAAAAAAACAGTATTATACAGCTGAGTGAGTGAACTCGCCGAAAAGTGACTGTTCTTAAAGACTATATTATTTCAAATGCTGAAAAAAATGTGAGACAGAGTTTTTTTTAAAATAACTTTTGAAAACAGCTCGACAGATTATAAAGGGATAGAGCCCAGAATGATAGGAGATCCCTTGAATTTATGCATATCAAAAGATATCACAGTTCAGTTTTACTACTTTCTTTCAAAACAGGAATACTAATGGTTAACAAAATATAAAGCTTGCACAAAAGAAATTGCGAAACAACGAATATACAATTTACTTTCTGCATGAAAATGAATTATTTTGTTGAATGAATTCTATCATATCAGTAATGTTTTATATTTTCATTCATTTTACAAGTATTCATGATGGCAGACACTCAGATATTAATTTCCATTCGATGACACTGGATATTTTCCTATCACCTTATAACTGTCTTACTAAAGATAGCTATATACTTATTGACTCTGTTGAACAGAGGCCGAAACCATTACGACGTTCCTTTTTGTTAAGAATACACTGTATTAAATAACATCCTAGGATTTATCTATTCCGACCCATACTATTGCACAGCTATGAAAATGACATAAATTCAAAGAGATCTATTTTCCCTAAAATGTTACAACTAACAGTGTGCGTCAATAATTCTTCAATTCAAATAACTGGTTAGTTTTATATGATGAACAGTGTCGATTGCAAAAGTTGTCTCATCGATGAAAAACAGGTTTCATCAGACATTTCATTTTAAATATCCATAAAGAAAATACATGGCTTACCCACTGTATCAAAAACAAGTTTCTTCATTCTCTTAATAAATTACTCATGATAAATAGTCTTATTTTCAACCATTTTTCTTGTTCACACAGATATTCAAGAAAACGACGAGCAAGAACCACACTTTCTAGATAACAATTTGATCAAAAGAGGATCGCTGCTAATTGGAAAAGAATCTGACAAAAATGTAAAACAGTCCAAATTAAAACAGCGTAAACAAACTCAAGACTTACAAAGTAGCCATAAATCTAGAAGACAATCACGTAAATCCTCAGATAACAGTTATCGGAAACGAAGTCCCAATTCCAGTTGTGGTCACTGTTCATGTAGTAGTGGGAGTCGTAGTGAGAAAAGTTCCCCCGTACATGAAATATCACAAAAACAAGTTGGACAGAGTAAACTTGGCTATTTTCGCGACGGCCTACAAAAATTCAGGAATAAATTTGCCAATGAAAAACGGAAGTCATTTGAAAAGTATTCTACACCAACTAATCTAACTAACACCGGAAGGTCAATAATTTCATGGAGTGAAAGTGAACCAAGTTTAAAGTCAGATGACTCGGGATCAACAAATACTGTTTCAACGGTTTCCTCAACAACTGAAGAAACTTCGTTATCATCAAATACTAAGTCCAGTCGAAGTACACATAGTAGTGCTGACAGCTTCAATAGTTCTTCAGATAACAAATTAAACCAGCAAAATGTTGATTCACCAGTAAAAGGTGTACTTGCTAAAAGCTTTCAAGCAAGTCTATCAAATGTCCGTCATTCTATTACATCATTGACTAATGCACTATTTCATCAAGACAAAAGCCATAAACGCAGTGTTTTGAAAAGACAATCTACCATTGATAGTTATGAAAGCTGTCCCCATTCACCTACGGATTATTGGTTAGATTCGTTAAGATGGTTTATTGGACCAAAATTAACAAACGTTTCTTCTGCTGACTTAATGTACTTGCTATCTAAAAAGCAAATGACAAAATCACTGGCAAGGTATCTTTTTCATAATTTATGCTTTAAGTTTAAGAGGAAAAATAACACAGTAATGCTATGGAAATTTTCTTTCCTTGATAAAAATTTGTCTTGATCATATGGACTTTAACTTAGATTACCGAAAGTATTTTGATACTTTTTAAAAGCTTGAAAACAACTTTCCTATTTGAAGTTACAGAAGAATAACGACTGATCATAAGAAATGGATTTAATTCTTTTGATTGTGGTAACAGCCAATGTAAATTCTTGGCAGGTATATGTGATGAGTTGAGTACTTTCGGTACTAGCCTTTAGACCGACAACAAAGAGAAGCTACTTATCTTATCTGGTCTCTGAGTAATCAGCAAGAGATAGGGAAAAAAAGTTAAGATTCATAGCTCAATCACCAGAGCTGAACACTGCTGGGGTGAGTCCAACCACGAAACAAATCTTCAAACCAGCTTTAATTATCATTCTATAACAATGAGACCACCCGAAAACCCTAACACAGTTTCAATTTCACAATCGATGTCCTCATGCACTTGCTAGCTTTCTGTTACTTCTCATCTTCTAATATCCTAAATATAAAGGACAGAATTCTTTTGAAAGCTATGGCACTAAGATCTTTAGTTCAGATTACAGATCTATCTAAACACCTGTATTTTCGTCTAACCTTAAAGAACAAAATTTACAGTATCAAATGAGCTGCAGACATAGACACAGGACTGATGAAGTGAGAACGTACACTTTTCTATTCAAATGAGCAGTAGTTAGGGAACAACAATGAATGATGGTATAATCCTTACAACTGAGAAAAAAAGAAACCGGTTATTTTTTTATTACAGCTTGATGCCACACTGAATTTTCGGTACAAGTATGCAATTTTCAGCATGTGATATCGGTAGCCTAAATTTCGCAGGCCGAATATAGATATCGGGTATTCGTCGGCAGGGGATCGAACCCCGGACCATGTGCATGTTCGGCGAGAGTCCTAACCACTGTGCCACCGACGCACAGAAGTTTGAAAGAAAACTCAGGAAGTTTTGGTAAATAGTGTAATAAAAAAACAAAAATTAACCAGCAACACATAGGAAACAGACTACTTAACACTACACAAGAAAGCATTCAAAAGTAATTTGAAATCAACAGAGTTAATATCAGTGGGTCAGAATGATGATGCTAATAATAATAAACAGGATGCATAGTTGCATAAAAAGTAAAATAATCGTTATCAAGGTTCAATTCCCAGTAGGAAAGCTATCACACTGCACTTCAGGTACATCCATGTGATGAATGTCAAATAGACGAAATGCGCATCCTGGATTTTATTTCTAGTTAATACCAACCCTTAACGTTTATTCATTCAAATCAGCATATTTCTTATGGGCACTAGTGCGACCATTTGGATTTCGAACACCATTTGCGCTGAAATTGTCTAGAATCTTGAGCTACTCATTTAATTAATTTTCGAAGAATTGGTCGATTTAAAGATTGTTTTGAAGTGTTAGAAAACAGTCAACTATGTATAGCTGTCTCATTTCAGCTGTGCTGAAAAGTGGCCCAACAATAGGAGAATAGAACGTATACATTATTCTGCAAGTAAGTCACTATCCATCTTAGTCGTTGAAAACCACTGGTATTTATCTCTGAACTTCATTCAGTACTAGAATCACAGTTCCGAAAACGTCAATGGAAGCCTTGACTTACAGAGTCATTAAAGTTGGGAGTGAACACAGATTACTGTCAATTTCATTAGTTGATTACTATGATGTTGAATTTTAATCTGGCGGATAAAAATTCACGTTCTCACACTAGCTTGAAAAGTTTAGCATAGAACTGGGCGTAGAGACTACTTTGAAGGTGGCATTACTGTATGCGATGAAATCACTTTCGAGTACCAAATACCTTATGAAAGTCATTTTTGGTCAAGTTATATTTATTTTAAATGTATGACGCTTTAAGTAATCAGTCTCGTTCGTAGACATGCTCTATTTTCTTAATTATATTTATTTAAACATTTACAAGGTACAACAAAGAACGTCTTACTTGTGTCTTTCTAAGTGACAAAGAAAAATCATGGGATCACTATCAAGTTAGTTTATCTTATTATGATAATTTTAAATGTCATGTTACTTATAAAATTTTGCTTTTCAGTGTTACTTAAGGTTTACAGCATAGGATGATGAGCTGTTTATCCACAGGCACTTTAATTGATACATATATACGTATTCTTAAATATTATTCATCAGCCTAAATTTTGCTGTTTGCATCGATTTACTCAGTGAAAACTGAATTCAACAGTAAATCAGTACAAATACGAGCGACTCCTTCATTAGGTTACTAAAGTGAATAATGAATTATATCACAGACTATGATTTTATTTACTGACACGGTTACAGTGATATTTTCAATCTGATACATGTAATTTTAATCTTCAGTAATGAATAGAAACATTAAGACACCAAGATTCTAAAAAGTAATCTATGTAGGTGGAGAGAGAGACTGATTGCTGAATCCCGGTTCATTGAGTCTACACCTAACACGCAACAGGAATGACTCAATGCGAATACCAGAAATATGGAAGATATTATTACCGCCAGTCAAATCAGAGGAGGATAATAAATTATCTCAAATATCTAGTCAATTTCACACAAGTATATAAATGAAGGAAAAAAGTTGTGTGAGTAACTTGATATGATCATGAGTGGCAATAGTTTGTGCTCGGAACGTTATCAGTTAGTATTACTGTATAACACTGTGTGATTTATCAGAATAAAGTCTTATCCATAATGGAATTAATACACTAACTGCAAGCTTATAAGAGAGTAGTAAGACATTAAAATTTTCTTTTGTTTTTTAATACTGCCAAGTAAAATGAGCTCTTTCTCCCACTGTTTTCCTAGCTATTTCGTTCCGCTGGATGCCAGTTAATCCCTTACGACCTCGATGTTTCCCCATTTATATACGACATTAATAAACCAGTTAGTGTACGTCAACAGTTTATGAAATTCAGTCAGACTTGCAGCCTACAGAACAATAGAGGTTTGTTGGAAGACGGGTAAGAATAATCTTCATTATGCAATAAAATTGCAAACTGTAAAGCTAGTTTACAGGCACAGTATCAATTTTTTAACTCTCTTATTAATTAAATGTACATTGGTTTACGTAAACTCAGATAAATTATTAATACCCACTGGATGTGTCAAATCTAACTGTAACCCCAACACCTGAGTTTCACTTCATCAAGTAGATGGAACTGTAAAATAGCTAATCTTCTCCAAGAGTTGAGATTATTTATAAAATATAATGTCTTTTATTACTTCAATCTTATATAAAATCAAGCAGCACCGTGAAAATTGGATTTAAATTTAAAGCTTAAGGCAGATATATAAACGAATTTGTCCTCTGAGTGGCAGCTCATAGGTACGAAGAAATCACGACAGAACACGCCCTGTGGGAGTGAAGGTAGGATACAATACTTAAATTACTACATTTAATACACTGTATTTTCAAACATACATGACTTGTAGGAAATTTACGAAAGGAGATCAATTAAACTGCTAGAGACACTTCAAAACACAGAATATACATTAAAAATATTAAAAAATTCAAATAACAATTTTATTCTTCGCTCAAATCGGAGAGGTGAAATGATACAGCAGGCTGGTGAAAGGCTTCATGAAGCCAGTCAGCCAGCAGATGAGTCTGCTCCCGATGAAAGCAATAATAATAATGGGGACGTGGAATGTCCGTACAGTGTAAGAGACTGGGAAGGCTGTTCAGGTAGCCAACGAACTGCGAAGATATAGCATAGAAGGGCTGGGTATCTGGGAGAGCAGATGTAACGGATGTGGACTGTCAGAATTGTCAACTGGAGAGTCAGTAATCTACTCCAGACAACAGCGACGAGAAGACTCAGGCAGTGAGTGGCTATCAAGAAGACACCAGTGCCACCCAGAACTCTAATGCAATGGAAACCACTATCACCCTGCAAGGATCATGACAGCTAGATTCAACTCAAAAGGAAGGAATGAAGGAAGGTTACAATTATCACGCAATGCTACGCACAGTGCTACAAACAACGCAGAACGGGAAAAGAAGGAAAAATTTTACAGACAACTACAAACAGCAATCGACAGCATCCAAAATGGTGACGTCAAAATCCTCATGGACGATATGAATGCCAGCCGAACTGGGAGCAGATAAAACAGGAAGAGAACCCGTCATGGGTTGAGAGGTCCTTACTCGGTAAAATGAATGAGAACAGAGAATTACTCGCAGACATCTGCCCTTTCAATGATTTGCTGATCGGAGACAGCATGTACAAGTACAAGGATATACACAAAGCCAGAGACGTGGATTTCGCCTGAAGGACACACCACGAACCAGACAGACTTCATCCCAATGCTGCTCAAGGAAGTGGAGACGCAGCCAGTCTTCTGGACACAAAGTGGAGAAGGGGAGCAGGTGTGGACGAGCTCAGACCATCATCTACTTCAAGGAACCTTCTAGGGGAAGCTAAAATCCCTGAAAACAACTGGAGACAGACCCTCACAATTCAAGTTCAACATTCAGAAACTGGATGACAAAACTACAAAGGACGCCTTCACTGCAGCTCTCAGATCAGAGCAAAGTCGGAGACACTACGTGGTATCACTGGGGAAACTTGTTTGTGTGTGTGTGTGTGTGTGTGTGTGTTGGGAGAACATTGGAACTAACTTTCTGTATATGACGTTCGCGGAAATGTGTGCAACTGTTCTAGGAAGAAAGAAGAGACATGACAAGGAGTGACTGTCAATGGATACTCACCTGGAAGCTAATAGAAGCGAGGAGAGTAGGATGGTGAGAGAGGAGATGGAATGACTCAGTGCAAAGATGGACAACAGGAGAGGGAGAAGTTGAGTTGACAGTGATTTACACTGCACCGAATCACGAAAGACGTGAAGAAGAGTGTTAGGAAAGACAAAAGACGATTCTACTAGACACTGTTCGGCGACTGAAGCAGAGCAGGCCGACTGCAGGTAAAAGAGACCTGAGACCATCATATCAGATAACCAGGTCTCTACTCCGGAAGAGGTCAACCTAGATGATGGAACCAACACACGGTACTCAAGGGAACCCGATTACCAAGGAGGAGAAACAAGTAAGCTAATAGGCTGATCACTTCAGAGGACCATTGAATCTCCCATCACCTGCAACTCGCTGAGAAATACCACCACCACCGACAAAATCACACACAGACCTTTCTGTCATTGGACACTAATCCTCCAACGAAAGCAGAAATTGTGAATACGATCAAGCTACTGAAGTCCATCTTGGAAGGTAGCAGGACCAGACGTAATTTCCTGCGAAGCACTGAAAACAGACTTAGGTACTGAAGCAGATATGCTGACATCACTATTGCACAGTGTTTGGAAGGAGGGCAAAGTACCTACTGACTGGAAGAAAGGCTGGCTACCTAGCCTAGCTGCCAAAACAGCGGGACTGAAGGCTCACTCTACAAGAACGGGCACGGAATAATGATCTAATTCGCATCATATTGGAGAGAATAAAACATGTATTGGATTCAGGAAAGGCAAATCATGTGATGATCGAATTGCAACTCTACACATCGTCATCACAGAACAAATTACAGAAGAGAATGGCAGTCAAACCCCTCCCTACCTCAACTTCCCTCATCTACTTTGAAAAGACAACGGCTTCGACAGATAGCGTTGACCGATAAGAAATCTCTAGAAGATCTGTATTTCGCGTGTGCATGATTTATGTCTGATGTCACACAAACACGAAGACTTACAGGAGAAAACCAACAAACTGGGTGGGGAAGCAGCCACAGGAGAGTGAACTCCAGGTGAACACATAGAAGACAAAGTTGATGAAGATAACCAACCAACGGAAGCAGCAACAACCAACACCAATCACCATCAACGCGAGAGATTTGACGGAGGCTACTTCCTTCACTTATCTGGTCAAGGAACACGATTTCAACCACAGACACACGGAACGGATGAAAATGTCAAAGCCAGCCAGGTAGCCAGCCACAATCGGAAGGGTAAGATACGCCCTTATTAACCTGAAACCAGTTTGAAAATCTTCTGCTTCACTCAGCCTGCATGAACAACGAGATTCGAATTTCCAACACAAATGTCATGCGAGTCAGTTCCTCTATACGGCGTGCGTGCCGCAGAAAGGATTTCCAACAGGTCACTGCAGACTTTTATCCACAGCTGCTCCCTTCGCTGGCTGGCTCCATACTGAAGATCAAGTGAGCGGCCGGCCAGGTGGAATTGGCAACAAGAAACTCTGGCTCGGAACGAACCAGCCAGAGCCAAGATATATGTTGGAGAGAATTGAGATGGATCGGGTATAAATTGAGGAGACCGTAGAATGACATTGCGCTCAATGCAGGTCATCGGTTGAGTGGAATCCAAATGGGATGACGGGTGGCTCGTCACTGTGAGGGTGACGCGGAGGAGATCGTTTGAGGTGGAGATGACAGATTATGGTTAATCGAGGGGCCACCTAAAATGGACTGAAGAGAATAGAACAAAGTGAAGGTGTGTTGCTGAAGCCCTATATTCCATTCGGAAACCAAAGGGATGATAATGAAAATAATAATCTAATTAACATGCGTTGCTTATTACGCCATACTCATTTGTTACGAACTTTTATTCAGTTAACTATATGAATTAGGTTTTATTCACAGTGCGGGAATGGATATCAATGACAACTAAATTTGGACGAATTTTTCATTTAGTAACAGCTTTTTGGGGCGTGGTGCTAGTAACTCCACCCCCAAACTTAACCAAATCGCTACAGAAACTTCAAGCATAAATATATTAAAAATAATAATAATAATAAATAACAGCTTGTTAGTTGAGTTATAACTTCCTCAAAAACTGTCACTTCATGCTGATTGTCAAAATGCTCCTAAAACAAACATATAAGTGTGAAATACTCTTTTGGCTTGTTTTATTCATTCAAAACTCTATTGCTAAAGTCTGTTTATCTCTAGATATACTCTGAAACCTGCTTTGCTGAGGATACCAACCATAAATCGTTACCATCGCCAACTTATTTCAAGAAATAAATTCCTAAAACGTTTTCAAAAATCTAAGCCCAATTCACCTGATGTGAGAAATCAGATTCAAAACTATTTAAAATGCGCTTGCTGCTATGACCCACTAGATATTGGGTCAGAACGAGAAATGATCGGTAAAATATCGGACGGAACAATAAATTTCGAATGGCCAGTTATTTCAGATGATGAAAAACATGCTTATTTACCATGGAACTTCACTGTACAGTTGCTTAATTTTATGAGAGTTAGTCAAAGATTATCAGAAAGCAGTTCTTCACCAACATCTAGTCACGATAAGCAAAATGTACAAACACCTCGAAAATTACCAAAGCGCTACCGGCGTGCAGCTAATGCAACAGCTACACGCCAAAGGCATGCGAGTGCGGGACGAATGCCTTTATCAGGAATTACTACAAATTCGGAAAACGACCAGTCCACAAAAGATAATTTTTATTTACTAACTCCAACCAAACATAAGAGCCAAGAAAACATTCATCTGAAGAATGCATATGGTGATTTCCAAGAAAATCGTGAAGGCATAATTATTGACGTGAGTAATTTTAGATTGTAAAGTAATCTTATAACTAGCACAAACGCTTTCCAGTTATTATAGCGAGGTGTTAACAGTTGAATTCAAAAATGGGGATCTTTCTGCACTGCATGATAACGCCATTTTAGTCATTTTTCTCATAAATAGCAGAGATGCAAGATACACAGTTTAAACATTCCTACTGATATAATAACATTTACCCTTTAAATAAGATAACTTACATTCTACTATATTTTTTCAGTCTTGAAGCAATTCTCAAATAATACAAATTCTTGAGCTGCAGATTCGCACACTTTAGTTACTTATGCCAATTAGATCCACTTAAAAGTATATATTCCGACAAAGTCTAGCACATCATTATGAATTATCTTCAGATAATGATTACAGCACGCCATAAAATGTGGTAAATATTAAGTGAATGAATTGACCATAGCTCAAACCTCGCATATAATTACTCATAACCCAAGACACAGCTATTCAACTCGTAATTAATTATGAATTAAAGTGTCAAAAAACTGGGCATGTTAGAAGTAAATTTTATTTTCGAGGAAATTAACTAGTACTATCTTTCTCCAGGAAGAATGTGAGTCAAAATAAACCACCTTAGGGAAATATATTGTTACAGCTTTCATAGTATGACAACACGTAAACGTCCTATTCGCTGAAAAATCAGTGCGATCAACTTCATATTTCAAAGCGTAAATAGAAGGATAACTGATAATTATGGATACATTCTGCTGTAACTGTCTCCATTTGAGCTTCTCTCATTCATTTATACTATACTGTGAGTAGTGATTATACCTAAAAATGTCCTTGAACTTCAAACAGATGTCAATTGAAGAGATGGCATTATATTGAAACACTAATTCTGATTGCCTGCTAATAACTGAAATTGAAGGTGTCTTACTGCATTCGGGAAGTTGTCCTAGAGAAGACGCATCTCAGACAGTAAGCTGTCTCCGCCACCCTTAAACACCTCTGAAGACATTTCATCAAGTCCCGTTGCGTTGCCTCGTCTCAAACTAGTGACAGCTTTTGTAATGTCAGTTAGGGACAGAGGACCTGTGTCTATATCCCATTCAGGGAGGTGTTGGATGTTCAGTAGGTTGAGGATTGCTCTACGCCAATTAAATTCCTCTTCAAAGTGTTCTTTCCAACATTTCAGTCGTCTATCATGACAGATCCTATGGGATACAATAAAATTAATTAAATTTGGCCAAGCGACAGTCTGACAACCTTCTTTCTAGTCCACGAAATCTTCATTAGTGATCATGAGAAACGCCTAGCTGTCCAGTACGAAAATATCAAACTTTTTTTATGTTTACGATAATACTCTTAAGGTAATCAGTTTAAGTACAGGAAGGATCCGTGTGTAAGTATCAAATTTATTTCGAAATGTCCTCATTCTGTAACTCGAATTATTACTATATAAATATATATATATATATGTATATATTCATGTCAAACACTGTTCTTCAATGTTTATGCAAAAAGTATAAAAAGGAGTAATTTAATAAATAAATAATATAGAGTGAACAACAGTTATATAAATTTTGATGAAATTTTTCCTTAAGAAGTGGTCCTTTCAACAAAATATTTGGGTAGAAACCTTAACATCATTTTTATCACAGCATTAGAATTCAAAGTCAAATCTGTATTTGGGGTTCTTCAAACTAGATATATTATTTAAGAAATTAGTTAGGAGCAGCTAAAAACCAAAACAAAATTTCTGACTGACTTATATATCAGTCAGCGGTGTATGGTGTCTCATTCCCGCTTGTTTTCTTGATGTTATTCACAGTGCCATGTTATTTACATTTTGTAATATAAACATTCACAGTTTTTATACAAAGCTTCGCCAAAATTTCACCTCGAATTGCACGCTTTGCAAAGATCTCTCTTCTAAAATAAGCGAATTCGATCTTGGCTTTTTTTACTTGAACTGTTTTTCTAACTGTGATCAGTTCACTGGTAGCCTATATTTTTAAAGGTTAATGTCATTTTTCGTATGGCTATGAAGGCTACTTGTATCAATAAGAGTTTTAAGCTTGATCAGATCTATCAAGGGAGTATGAGGACAAAACCTGATATATATATATATATATATATATATATATATCCTTAAACACACTTCTACAATAAACAAGACTAAGTGGATTTTGATTTCAAACCTAATACTTGTGCCAATGAGAAACCTAAATAAATCCTCTCTGAGTAATAAACAATGTCGTAAACATTGGTTCAAAGGTATATCTAAGTGTAATGAGGAATTTCGATAGGATGCAGTCGAGACAAATAAGCTACTATGAAAAACGATTGAAACGATACAACCAACTTATAAGTAACTAGACCTAATTCTGCTTATACACCTAAAGCACTACTGTGTAAGTGATTCACTGATTATCAAAGTTTATAAAGTAATGATATCTCATGCATTACAGAAACTAGTTTTCATTTTATTAACCTTAGATAACACTATTCATGTTTGGAAGTACGGTTTACACTTCATTTTAAGCACAGAATTATTACACGAGTTATAATTAATTTGTTTCGAGATAGCAACCAATACATTTATTTAACACTAAGAGTTGATACAAGTTTACAATTCACATGTTCCTTGAGCAAAGAAGCTTAGCAATACCAATTAACTACTGATTTCCAATATATACTGGGTGAATTTTACCCACTGGAGTAGGTGGATCCTGATTGAACACTGAAGTGTTAAGGGTAAGAGGGAATAATTTATAAAGCTGCTCCTTTCTGTCTGTCTGTTTTTGAAATAGAACTTTGCACCGATGTGCAGCACTTCAAGTCGCCACACTCCATGTAACACACAAAGCAAGGGGAGAAAGTAGAGGAAATGCATAATAGAGACAGTAAACAGAGGTGTGAGACAAAGAAACATAAGTAACGAAGAACAAAACAGTTTCATAGGAAATCATAGGTCACAAGGAGTGGATGCATCTGCGTTAGCCACTGAGAACGATTTTGAGCCATATCACCAATTGTTTCCAACCATTGGTTTTTACCGCCCCGAGGACCCCAACCAGTGAGGAAGTCTACACCTTCCTACGTGGCTTAGACTAACTGTTGTGGATTTCATTGACTGGTGCCATGTTTTGGTTTGACCGCCGCTAGCTTTTTTCCAACCTGACCCTATATCCGCTAACATTGCTCGTCGAGGAAGGCGATGACTTGGCATACGTAACACATGTCCTAACCATCTTAGTCTATGCAACTTCACGACTTCGTTGATTGATTTCCCCTGTTTACCTAGAACTCAATGCCTAACCTCAATATTGATCACCTTATTATACCACTTCATACGGGAAATAGAGCGCAGGCACCTATGATCAAAGACAGCTAGTCTTTTCATGTCTTCCACTCTCAGTGGCCAGGTCTCACAGCCATAAAGGAGGACCGAGCGGACTGATGAGCAGTACACCCACCCTTTGCTCGATAGTCAAACATCTCATCTACGCCAGAGACGGTGTAAACTGGCAAATGCGAAACGAGCCCCCTGTATTCTTGCTGAGATTTCGTCAGAGATCAACCCGTTGGCACTGGCTGATGGTACTTCCTAAATAAGTGAAGCGGTCAACGTGCTCTACCACTTCACTTCCTATTTATAAACTAGACGTCGATGTAGTCCAGTCCTGTAACATCATCTTGCATTTGGCGGGAGCGAATCGCATGCCAAACATTCGTAGATTGCGGCTCAAGGTGTTTAGAAGACTCTGCATTTCGTCAGCGTCTTCGCCTAGAAGGACTATATCGCCTGCATATTCTAAGTCAACGAGATCATTCCCTGGTAGCAAGTCAATCCCTGAGTCGCTGAAGTCACTTAGGGTTAAATCCATTAGTACATCTATGATGAAGTTGAATAGAAAAGGGTATAATGGGCATCCTTGACGGACACCGCTAGTCGTCATCAGTTCAGATGACAACTCGCCATAAGCCCTCACCTAAGTACGAGTAAAGTGCCTTAATCAGTGCAATGTATTTTCTCGGCATACCCTTTACAGCCAAGCATCTCCAGAGTGAGTACCTCTCGGTCGACAAAGTCGAATTCCGCCTTTAGGTCAAGAAACATAATGACTGTTGGACGCTGGTAGGAATTCCTATGTTCTAGAATCTGTCGGAGGGTGAAGATACGATCAATACACCCTCTTCCTGGTCTAAAGCCTGCCTGGTCCCCTCGTGTTTGTGCCTCCCTAGCACCATTTAGTCTTCGCAATATTATTGAGTCTAGGACTTTAGATACTATATTAGTTAAGCTAATCCCTCTGTGATTATCACAGGAACACTTGTCTCCCTTCTTGTATATGGGGATAATCAGTGACTTACACCTACCCAATGGGACTTCTTCTGATTCCCAGACGCTTACTAGTACCTCAGTTAATGCAGACAGTAGACTGTCTCCACCGTACTTAAATACCTCTGGAGTCATTCCATCAGGTCCCGCTGCTTTGCCTTGTTTCAAATTGGTGACAGATTTAGTAAGCTCAGTTAAGGAAGGGCGACCTGTGTCTATATCCTATTCAGGGAGGTGTTGGATGTTCGGTAATTTGAGTGTGGCTGTAGGCCAATTAAACTGCTCCTCATAGTGCTCTTTCCAGCGTTCCAGTCGTCTATCCTGGGAGCTAATTATAGTACCATTTTTCTCCGAGGTTGTTTCACTTATCATTTGCCTTTTACCACCTGTTTCCTTGATAAGCCTAAATGGTTGTCTGGTGTTACCAATCGCCGAAGCCTTTTCCATCTCTTTCGCCTTTGTCGACCACCACTGTTCACGGTCCTTGCGGAAGTTTGCTTTTGTGCAGCTTTCGCTCCTCATTGAATTCGGAGTTCGCCGGAATAAGTCTTCTAGCATCTATCAGTTCGGAAGAGGCGGTGGATATCCAGTGGTTTTTACTCACCTTTGGATTTACCTTATTCACAGCTTTTACAGCTGTATCTATGGCTGCCTGGATATTCTTCCAAGCTTCTTCAGGGTGAGCACAGCTGTCGAACACAGATATGTGTTTAGCTAGTTCTTCCTCAAATAGGGATTTAGTTTCGTGATCGAGCTGGGGATGTGATGGTTTTGCCGCCAGCTGTTTCCTACGTCTGTTCAGTCAGAAACACCCGAGCACGGACCAGTGCGTGATCGGTATCGATACACGTGTTCCAGAAGGAGCGACAATCTCCTACCGACCCACGCCAACGATAGCTTATTGCTACGTGGTCTATTTGTGTGCAGCGTCGGTTTGATGAAGGGGGTCTCCAAGAAAAAAAGTAGTTCGTCATGTACTTTATAACATTTCTTTTTCCTTCACGTTCCCTCAGTGGAACATAGGGCTTCAAGCTATTGGCTCGAAATTTTTGCAGCAGTGTTTATTTTACAGGATGTGGTTGCTAGCCTCATGCCCAACCTTTCCTCTTTACCAGCATTATTTCTGGCTTAGTGAGGTAAAGGAGTGCGTCGGCCGGAGATCGAACCCCGGATCATGTGCATGGTCGGCGAGCGTCCTAACCGCTATACCACCGACGCCCTGCTCCTTTCACTATCCGGACAGTGTCATGCTTTGAAATATGCCATGCATAATAAAGCTGTAAACGTATTAACGTCACTTGACAACAAAAGTCTTATTGCAATGAATTTATTCATAGCCACTCCCCTCGAGTCTTAAATTCCTGTTACAGTATAATAATTAAACTGCCCATATAAATTAAGAACTCTATCCCGGCATCCATATCAGTCTGCAAATCTCATTTGATTAGGAATTACCTTGAGTAAACAAGGCACTCCTCATCACAAAGGAATTACAAATACAAACTTTCACGGAAGTGGTCACTATAACGAGACTTATATAATGCGAATTCTTGCAGAGAAAGATTAAAACTAAATACACCTACCGACCAATTAAACCTACCAGTGAGTAATTTCTCTGTCGACAAAATTACCTTTGATGGAGTCTCATAGCGCTATACAGTAAATTTTAACAAAGACGCTTCGAGTACAATTTATTGTTCATAATCGTATCAAATATGAGTAATATGATATCATTTTGAGCAATAAAATGTGCTCGAAATGTCATCAGTAAATATTACTGTATAACACTATGAGACTTTATCAAAATAAACTTTATCCACAATGAAATTATACTGTACCACAGTGCACAGGTTCTATTCTTATATCGGCAGGTAATTCGTGACGGATTTTCCAACACGATTATACGTTGAACAACACACGTAGACGATGGTGCGTTGAAGGTGTTATGCTACTATTTGATGTGATTTGACAGTGGCTAGCAGTCGAATTCGAAGCGCTCTTTCCGCTTCATTTGCGATTCATCAACTAGAAGTGTATGCTTCCTAGTGGATGATGATGGATGGTGCTCCTACTAAAACTTCTCGGTAGTTTTAAAATCCAGAGCTTGTTCACTAAGCTACTGAACCACGAGAACTTTGATGGCTAAGGTCATTGAGAAATGAAAACACCCCAAGTTCCTACATTCAAATACATGGTAAACTAAAAAGACAAAATTTAACCTCAGTACATATCAGTTTGTCACACTAATTAAATGAAAACAGCCAAAAGTTGATTGACACATAATTAGTACACACTGAAGATTTTCATGAACCTTGAGAATAAGTGCGATGTCAGTTGGGATCACTTTCAAAGTGTGAGAAGAAACTTTATACAAGTTACTTCATTAGTAAGAAGATATTAAATACACTGACTGATTTCAGTTGCACTGAAAAGATCAACATGTCTAAAATGCAGTTTCTCATCTACTAAGTGGCGATATCAATATTATTGGTCTGAATGATTCTTTGACTGATCAGAGTTCAGATGTAGAGATACGATGAATTTCCTCAAGGTTTCCCACACGTTTAAACGCCGAACACTAGCAAGTATAATTAATACCTAAAGCTTCCTTCCTAATAAGTAGAAATGTATTACAGCAGGAGGAAAACGTGCGTGTTTCTTATCACTCAGTTTAAGTGTTGACAATGTATATTTGTCCTATGGACTTTAATAAACACCTGATAGAGATATCGGTTCCCATCAAACAACTAGCTTTCATTCCTCATTTATATTACTACCAGAAGCAAGCGATGCACTAGTTGTATTCCACTGAAAAAGAAGGGCATTAAGTGCATGAAAATAAGTCAAAGAATATACCAGCGTACAGAGGTTTATACTGCACTCGTGAAGGTAGTATATACAAAACTGAACTAAAATTGACATGCCACTAACGATCAGGAGGAATAGAGTTATGTTGAAAGTATTAATACCGATTACTTCTTAGTTTACTTCTGAAAGCTATTGTCATTTATTCACTTAGTTCCAACTTGTTAGTATGGGAAATAATGGGTTGGACAGAATTCGTCACAGAACACTCTCACTACTATTAGAATAAGGTAAATGGACATTGGTGATAATAAGAATTATTATTATTATTATCGTTTATCTACTTATTAATTACTAAAACTCCTATGAATAAGCTAACAGGCTATAAAGAGCTATTCTGCGTTGTGCTTGGTGCGGTATATTGAATGCAAAACCTTTCAGAAATACTCGTTTCACTTATTATTAAACTGGATTCATACAGTACTACTGAGTCTATTTACCAGTAGGTGTCACTCAATTCACAATCTGACAGTCTCATATTATTACTAATTTAACCGTGAATGTACTTCCTCACGTCAGTCCAACAAAACGTAACCCATAGACTATCCAGGTAACTTTTGAGACAACAACACAACACTTCTTTACGATACGACTTGCTAACAACACAGTACTGATCTATTTTCCTAGCAGTTTCTTCATTCAGAAGAAGTTAACTCACATAATAAATAGTGAGTTGTGATAATGTTAATCTTTCGGATCTGAAATTTCTGGCACGTTTTGTTTTTATACTGTACAAACATTGTTAACGTTGACTGTTGCTTTGAAATTTCAGGCGGAAATAAAAGCACCATTGTTCAAGTTTTCACATCTTTCTACGGATGTAACAAGTCGTTTTTGGAAAGTTCCTATGGAACATGATGCAATACGGTATCGCCTTTATCCAAACAATTCTTTTGTTACAAAAACTGACACTAATCATAACCAGTACAGCCTAGGAAACTCGAAAATTCTATCAAGATCTTCATACGCACTACTATCTCCATTGAATGATAAGGAGAGGATATATATGTGCTCTAGTTTTAGTTCAATGCCACGAAGTAATTCCGAATTAATGCTTGACTCAATGTCCACGCGTAAAGTCACGTTCTCTCGTATTCATTTACCCGAATCTATCTCTATTCAACTAAGCGAGAAAATGTGCAGGAAAATGTATGACGATGAGAGTAATTCTGTCAAAAATATTGATGAAAACACAATTGCTTCATGCACGATATGTGCAAATAGTCCATTGAATAAAACACTCACAGGCTTTCAACACTTTCAGCTTCAGTTACTTCATCACCCCAAGAAAATGATTCAGAAGAAAACAGACGATATTATAGGATTCAATCATATGGTGTTTCATCAGCGTTTGAAAGCTACTATTGGTCTGTTGATATTTTGTAAGGTAAGTTTTCTTTGTAAAATCCTTATTTTTGTACTCGAGGCGTGTAAGCCAAAAACATCTCGCAAGTTTGCACTCTCGACTAAAAATTAGACCCGCTGTTACCTAACTGCCAAGTTAGGTGTAAATCTGAAATAAGTGAATTGTTACTGCCCAGTTCAGTTAGGTACGGCTGGATATGGATGTTAAGCTGGAATGTAAATGTTATCACTAGGTCATCCTACTCTCGTAGGTCAAATGGTAATGCATAATCGACTTTCACTACCAGTGGAACCCCAGTTACGGAGAATATATCAAGACTATTTGAAGTATTTTAATAGGAGTCTAACAAAAAGAGAAAATACCCATTCATTGAACTCTGACCGATTACTTTCCCATGTATAAGAATGTACTGGACACAACTGTCTAACCTATGACACAAGATAACTTTATTAGATATTCCCCCTGATAGGATTTTTGTAGCAAATAACACTTCCAGACCACAAATAAATACTTCTCCACACAAAATCTCACCATAAAACATTATAGATGCGGAATTAAGAACGCACTATTAGTTTTTGACCATGATACCATTGGATAGTTTACCACTTACCTATCTTTGATGATGACTAGTAGATACTACTTAAACTAGTGCTAACAAAAATGCTTCACTGAAGGTGATTTTCTTAAGCTGAACAGGACCACCCTACAGTTACATTGGGTGGTTAACATTATTCGTCTTCAACAAATAATCTGTATTATTTTATTTGTCGAATTAGCATATTTCACATTAGTTACAAACTAGGTGTCATATTTATCATTATGTTAACAACTGTATATTTCTCTCCAGGTAAGTATGAATACTTATGTACCAAACTCACTGGGTGATTTAATTGAAACCTTGAGCAAAGAATATGATACTCGGTCAAAAAGTAAACCGTGCAAACAAATGGACCAAAATCAACAATGCAACGTAAACCGTTCAAGAAGCTATGTACAGCTAGACAGACAACACAGTATTCGAGAGAATTCCATCATGAAACAACCGGTAATGCGTTCAAATTCTTTTACCTACAAACAACACCATAGAAGTGTTGTTTAAGGAAGCATTTGTTAGCGATTATTTTATTACTACTAGTAATAATAGCAAAATACATGTCACTGCCACTACCACTACTAGAAGTGCTCTCGCTCCAACTTTTATTGGTTTTGCCGATAGTAGCACCAATAACGAATATTTACGCTACAAACTGCTATCTATCCTACAGGAACCTTTCCAAAAGTAACTGCTGAATGGTAATAACTTTATTCACGTTATCCATGAGCTACTGATTTGTACAAATCACAAAAAGATTTTCATTTGTCTTCTTATTACCTAATTTAATACTTCGCTTTTTGATGTGAAACTGAACTTTTTCTTTCTTGTGAAAGATATAACTGATTTCACAATCTTTCCAATCTAATTGTTGATTAACTGACGATAACCATACGCCAAACAATCACATTTTAAAAAGATTTACTAATGTACATATTCTAAAAGTAACAATTATTCTCTTATACTTTGAATATAGTTATTTAGTTAATACTTCGAGTGTCAAGTCATCTAGTTCAGTTACCACACTGCATAGTCGATCAAAATACATAGTATTGAACGACAAAATTCAGTGTCGTACAGTCACCTGCTCTAATGAACTTCCTTTATTAGGCTTATATCCCGGTAGATGTCGTAATCATACACAGACTACCTTCTGTGCGTCCACAGAGAAAGTTAGCTTTCCAAAAGACGAATACATATCAGGATTAAGATGTGGTGATCGTCTTACTACTTGAAATTAGTTGGAATTAAAGTGAAACTTTATTATCAAATCCATTTAAACACATCTTGCCCTAATATAAAGTTTATCAATCATTTAGCACAATGACCTCATTACTTATGGCCGCATATAGCATATTTAGATATCTACCTCCAACATATGAATTACCTAGGTAGAGAACTGACTAGAACTTCAGGTTATTTCACTACTACTACTATACGACTTCTGAGAGAAACAGTTTCTTCTTAGCTGTAGATTCTAGTTTCACCTAGCTACATATATGCTACTAAATCGATTTTGAGACGTATCAGTGATCAATCCATACTGGGTTTCAATTAGGACATGCAATACATTCATTATTGGCAAACTACGCAGTGTAAAGTGAAAACTCACCACCGTCTCTCTTAGAAATCTCCAAACGTGCGGAACGGCGACCCGATGTATGCATCATTTTGATCTAGCCATTGTTTGACGCGAGTAGTTTACAACTACTAATATCAGCCAGTATCACATACTATCTTGCTAAATTGTCAGCCAGTCTGGATTGCACAACAATTACTAAAAATATCTTCGTGGGTTGGAAGCATATTCCGAATCACACTGACTTTTATTACAACTTAATACCACCCATCACAATAAGTGACTAGGACTGTACAACGCATACTACACACATATTATTTAGTGCCTTTTATCTAATTTTTATCCCTATCTGCACCTAACAATAATTCAAAAACACAGAACAAATAATCTCAGATCGAGGATATCTTACACTGTCAGCGAGTATGTTTAAATCGTTGAGTAGGACATGGTGAAATACACCTGTTGATTAGAGGCCTAACATCTTACTGATGCTATAGATAATGCAGACCTTTCGAATCTATGCTTCTGCATCGCCAGTGACCCGTCTATTAATGTTAATGCAGTGTGTAAACCGACTGACACGCTAGAATATATAACTACCCTTAATTTAAGACGGGGACTGACTAGTTTTACCACCTGCTCAGTGCGCCAAATGCATGCACAAGACTCTGGATTTTGACAGTACCTCTTATTGAGGGGACCATGTTGCCTGTATACCTTATATTACCGTCTCAAAAGCAAGTCGACACAACTAACGCACTCAGGCATCACGCTACGAACAACAGCGCACTTAGGTAATAACACTAACCCTTTATCTTGCCCAAATAACTAGTATATAATACCCGCAGGCGATATATACTTTGTCCCTTCCGTTCAAACCCCCACTGACGTCCTTAAAAAGAACCCCGAAAGTAAGGCTAATTACAGGAACTCAGCCTGTAACACATCAAAAATAAGCTTGCGGTCCTTAAATATTAGTCCCACTGTTTTGTAAGTGCACGCTGATATGAAATAGAATCATATCGAAACTATATTTTTATTCTTAAGAAGTCTGATTTAAATTTACAAGCAACTGTTAGTTCACCCAATTTATAAAATGCATTGGTGATAGAACAAAAATGCATCAGCCCATGAAATCAACTTGAGACAGGTAGGGAAGTTTAACGGTTGGAACCTCCAAGATAATAGTGGACTCTTCGAGTTCACTTACATTGGTGGATTTATTCACTATCTATCATTATAATTTTAATTATCTTTGGCACCCACCCATAAGCTAAGCTTTCAGATACACATTTTTGTCTGTTGTGATACCACTACACTTGCTTTATCTGTGCTTTTTAAAAGTGTGGAAAATTAAATGGGTAGATATGTGTGAAAGTATATTCTAATTAGTCAGTCAGTTAGTCTACAGATAACTGGCTTTTGCGACTAACCAAATCACTCCCAATAGCCAAGACGTCTATGACAACACATGCTGCCACTATTGAAACACAAACCAACTTAAATAGCCTAGCGAGTAAAACAGTGACTTGAGCAGTATTGATTTTACTCAAATGTCCAATCAATTCTACTCATGTATATAAATGAAGTGAAAAGTTGTGAGTGACCAGATATGATTACGAGCAATAGTTTGTGCTCGGAACGTCATCAGATAGTATTACTGTATAACAGTGTGGTTTATCAAAATAAAATTTTATCTATTACGAACTTCAATTTGTCGGACAGTCTTTCACCGCTAGCCATGCTTTAATTAGCATAACATCCTATATTTTAAAAAATGCAAAGTTACCGACCCAGTGAACATATTAAGCATTTTTCATGACAACGTCAGTGAGGAATAATACTATGTTTCATAGTAAAGTTAAGACGAAACGGTAAAATCATATAAGGATGGTGGAGAACAAACAGCTAGTGATACAGTTTTGTTATTAGCATAGGATGAAGACAATAATGAGGACCCACAACCATTCAAACTACAGAAATCTGAAATATTAGAATTGCAAAAGTAAAAAAGCATTTTAACCAATAAATGAATCACTTATGTGAACATTTGGAATTAACATAGTTTGTTTTAAGTGTTTTAAAAGATCTTACACATCCACTTCTTCTCTTTGAAAGGATTGTCCTTAACACGGTGAACAAGAGGATCTGAGAGTAGGTTTTCTTGGCAGTAATTGATTAGGTCTATAACAGTATGGCTGAATCTTTGTCTCTCGTGAGCACAATGAATCCTTAGATCTTCAACTTCACGTCTTCTTATTTCAATCTCGTGCAACCTACTAATTGGAGCCATCAGCACTCACCAGCACTAAACAAAACAGGGACCAAACGGACGTAGGTCACTCACTGACCTATAAGTGAGAAAAACAAAGTATTTCCATGTTTTGATAAAAAGGCGGAAATTTTAAAACTTGATAGTATGACACTAGAACATTTATGAATCGGTTGTGATTAGCAGCTGGGTGTGATGCATAGATTAGGTCCAAACAAAAGTTGTAACACATTACGCCAGATACTATGTCGAAGACTGATAATCAGAATCAGGGGTTAATCACAGGAACACAATTAGAATTAAGTCTTCTGTTTTCAGTATTAGTAACAACAGGTTAACTAGTCTGTATCAGTACTTAATTTTTGTTCCCCATAACGACCCAGCTTTTCCACGGAAGCATCAGCTGGAGAAACTACTATCACAGACTGCAGTAACGAGTTTGAGCTCTACAGGTAAATCTAAACTGCACTAGTTGTTTCCTTAATTGTGATTCTTGAAATCCCTTCAACAATTACTCCAAGAAGAGGCAGAATTATCCAGGTGGTCAACACAGTCAAATCACAAGTTCTCTATACCTGGTTTGAAAGGACTCACAGTTTCTCCCCTCTCCTCGTGCATAGAAACTGTGGGCCACTGGAAGACATGTACTAGTTACCTCCTGCTCAACTTCTAAACTTCAAAAGCCACATTAACTGTATACAAGATATGCATGCACCCCAAACTTGAACAGCGGGCTCTACCATATGTTGGCCCAAGGTACGCAGGTCAGCAAAAGTACGAGAATGAATTGATGAGGCAAACGAAAGTCTCTTACGGAATCACATGACTGAAAAAGGCCTACGTAGTTCAGGACAGTACATGTCCAATTCGTAGGAGCTCGTCCAAATTTTATTCTAATACCAAACCATACCATTCACTCTACTTTGGCTACAATCTTTTAATTAATTTAATTTTCGATTACCATTCTGCTTTTATGACTACACCGAATGACCAACGGGAGTTAGGTCAAACTCCACTCACGGCAGCAATACAGTCCTAACATACTGCATACTACAAACCACATCTCGACCAATCCCCGCACCACTCCTCCTGGAGTCTACCAGAGCTAAAGCAGTCGAGTGGCGGGACTTACTACGCAGTAGCTCACCGAAGACCTGGAAACTCTACCTCACAATCAAGAAGCGAGCTCAGAGAAATCACTGGTTTATACTAGCTCGTAATCAGGATATTGGATATTGGATTACGGCTTGATTCCACACTGTATTTTTGGTACAAGCATGGAATTTTCAGCATGGATATCGGTAGCTCAAATTTTGCAGGCCGACCATAGATATCAGGTGTGCGTCGGCAGGGGCTCGAACCTCGGACCATGTGTATGGTCGGCGACAGTCCTAACCACTGTGCTACCGACGCGATTGCCACTCACTGAAACAGCAGAAATGCAGGCGTCTTCACTACTGACTCCAGTAAAATGTGGAAGCAACCACGGCAGAATGAATCGTCAGAAAATCCCTCCTGTGCAACCTACTGATAACATTGACATTTAGTTCAGTATTTCAGGTAATTTTGTGATTGTTATCCTCTGGCCTGAGTGTCATTTTACTCACGTTCGGTTATCTGCTTCTGACGTAGTTGTAATTGCCTAACGTTGCTATTAGTCAATTCACATGCTTGATGCTTCGCAGCACTATTGTAGGACGCCTGATTGCCGGTGGTACTGTGTTGTTTTAACTGTTGCCAATATTGTGGCGATAAAGAGCCACTAAATTATTGGCTAGTAGTACTGATCACTCAAGTCTGGATGTTGACATTCACTATTTAGGTCGGCTCCTTGAGCTGACAGCTCGCTATTTGGGGGTCCAAACTTTCGGCACAAAGTGGTGTTACAACCCTTCATCTGTGCACGATCTCTAGCCGGTTGAGCAATCATCACACGATGGTTTTCATTCCAAAATATATTTCGTTTCTTGGACGATCAATCTGGTGTTTAGACTTGCCTTTGGACGAAACAGAACAAATACTACGGTAGTTGTGGCATAAGAACTTGAGTTGGTATACATCTCACTTTGACTCAGCATCAACACCCCCATTTTCTGAAATATCTCATTTGAGTGAAGTGAAGGCTGCACACCGTAGT